CCCTTGGCGCGAATATTGTAAGGAAGAATCTCGAGTGTGTACGAAATAATCATCGGCGTATATGCAAAGTCATAAAAGAAGAAGAACATAAAAATGAGCGGTACAGTAGCTGTTCGTGCTTAATTAACAATCGCACCAAGTACAACAAGGTTTCGCACTTGCCTTTCACAGCTACAGTACTTTTGGTCTCGTCGAAAAGAGCGGTAGTAATTGTCCACATAGAGAAGACTACTCATACGATAGAATAAGCGATATTCTCGAATCACAGAATAGTACTGACCGATCAACATTCCGATATTTGAAATCAGGAACAACTTCCTCCTGCCCAACTTGTCCACAAGTGTTGTGCCTAATAGAGCACTAGCGAGATTAAAAACCTATATAGTCAGTATAAGCATCAACTCCGGCTCCTGAGAAAGCATGGATGAACCTGTAGACAGCCGTTAATTACGGCTTTCGTCCGGGTCGTGGTTATGCCGCTGTTGAACTTTTAGCCAATGTACCGCCGTAATAATCCAGAGAGCATACATCCCGTCCAAAACAATGTTGATGTAACCCGAGACCAGACCGTTGCCACTAAAAGGAGCATCAATTTCCGTACAAACTAGAACAAGATTAGCCAAACCTCCACTGCGAGAATACTGCAATCGATATAATGATAAACATGCGCCGTCTGTTACCAGGAGTTGCGAAACACGTCAGATAGGATGGACTGGAGGCAATCTCTCGTTCAACATTCAGAGCATGTCGGATTTGAGCCATCTCGAATGCTACTAAATGGTCACATTGCTTTGGCCCATTTGCGTGGTACTGAGCAAGGACACGCGCAGCTTGCGATTCCTGTAAGAACAATGGCAGAAAGCTCGACCGGTGAATTCTAATTGACCGGGAAATTTCCTCGCGAATGCTCACCAGACCTTTAGCTGCTAGAAATCGAGGACTTTCCGGGATGAACCTAAACACGATCAGAAGTGCTGAGTCGCTTTGGGAAATTCAAGAGTCAAAAATGCCGACCAAATCAACATCATTTGAAGGACAGGAACAGTAGCTTGAATGAATACAGGGACTCTCCACGACCATTGCGACGCCCCTGTTCGATCATAAGCGACCAGGCAAATCCAGGCCGCTGCAATATGTGAGAAATCAATACATGGCACTGAATGTTTACACACAGATAATGCTGCCAAAGTACCACATCGAATTGTATAGAGCAGTCAATTTTCCACGCTTGAATGATATTAGAGACGACTAATAACAGACGAGGTGATTGGACATACATGCGTTGGATAACTAAGTTCGCTGATGAGCAGGGGAGCAGCATTGATGGAGAAAGCTATGCCTAAGCCAACTGCCAGACAAGGATAAGCATCCGAAATATTCCGTGAATGGCAGTCTTACTGAGCACACGAGCGCCGATGAATACCTGCACGGTGGTGCATAATGCTTGCGTGAAGACACCAGCCAGCACGATGATTGCCCCGATGAACATACTTGCTCGTCGTCCTAGCAAGTCAGACACATAAGGGGAAAATGGAATCCCCTAAAGCCAAAGTGAGCCGAGAATAATTTCAACGAGCTGCTACAGCTTACGCTGAGGGCACCAATGCCTTGGGCAGAATTTATGAGGCCTAACAGTCGTGAATAGAGGATTACAGCAATTCCAGGACTACCTACCTAAGGTTTTTCCCTCCGGATGATGGAAGTATTCTTGCCATCCGGGCAAAATCTGCAGACCTAAGGTAACTTGAGTCGACCGTATGATAGTGAATGTTCACGACCGACCGTTTAGTATGGACGAATCAAGGCCATTCAGTACTGATGACAGCAGTGGTAATATCAAATAGATGTTTAAAACCAGGAGACCTGCGCGTCGACATTGTCAAGTAAATTATTTGTTCCGGTGCGCTTAGCCAGGCTCGTACCACGATTCCTCCACCACGACTCTCGATTAATGAAGTCTGCAATTGTGTATTCCAGGACTGCCATCAAGACGAAGATGTTAAGTTGACGGGCAATTGGGGGGAAGGGAACGAGAAGTTGAAGGTGATTAATTCTTGGGGTGTCGTAATATATTGTGATATGTGCTTGCCATCACTTTCAAACAATCAAACGCAAGGGTCGCGTCCGAAGCCTTGACTTTAACCGCGTCAGACATACTTGGGTAATACAGAGATGAAATTTCGCAGTTCGGTACATTTCTTCCCAAAGTAAGGAGGTGGTGAGAACGAAGGCGGCGAGTAGGCGGCGGCTTAACTATTGACGCGCCCTATACATTCAAACCTTAGAAGTAAGGCCATGACAACCCGCAGTAACCCGCGATAGGTCCTAGCGCCTGACGAATCTGTATTTGGCGCGGTTGCTAGCAGTAGTACATAGGATTACCCTGCTGCCCCATGTTCTTGCTGTAAATGTTTATCCCATCAGTACTGCTGTGCATATTCATACTCTTTTCGTGGACTCACAATTTTAAGTACTCGTTATGTAACCCTAAGCTCAGCCTCAGTTAGACAGCCTCGTCAGTCCACATTTGTCAAGTGGATGGTATTAAGTAGACTTCGATCGCAAATGTTTTGACCTAGATTCGTTAAACTGGTCTGTAGTGCAATAAGACATATCTACTGTAGGTCAGGTCCACGGATGCGGCGCCGCGGAACCATATCCGAAGCCAAGTTCCGCGACAAGATTCGTGCTGATTTTCTGTTGGCTATGGTCATGGTTATGGAGATGTCCCAACTCCCCTTTCCTGTCGCGATGGTGGTCGATGAACCTAAATGTTCTCGTCCTACGAGCCGGTGCCCGGATAGCGAGCCTATCTTCGATTGACTCGGAGTCACGATGGATTTCCTATACTACTTCACAAATTTTCACTATAAAACCATTATACATATAAGTAGTTTATGCATCTATCAAATGGTTAGGATTCACCTATGTAAATTGCGGTGTCAATATGTTTTTCAACTGCTGTGAAAAAGTTAGATGGATGATCATATAGCGGCTGTGAAAATTTGCATTATAACCGTACCCTCAGACTGGTCCCTGGCAGAAATTAGCTACACGGCAATATCAATTTGTTGCCGGCCTTCAAGCCGGAGCCTTCGGTTTCTCTCCCTCTGTGCTTGCCTTGTCATGCTTCAGACGATCTGTTGATTTCGCTGTTGCAGGTGTAGGAAGACGCTTAGTACCACTCTCGGCAACGCCCGATGTAGGCGCTAGCCCGGTTATAATACTTGCTTCATAGTATTCACCGTGTCGTGCTCTTTGCCTTCGAATTCCTGGCGCGCGCTGGGGCCGCTCACCACCTGACTCGGGGTCATTAAGGGAACCGAACATCATAACAGGAATCGTTCTTCACATCTTGCTGTTGTATACTATTGGTTCCCGCCAGTTCGTGTCAAGTTCGTGCACGCCTCATCTCGTGCAGTCCCAGAATAGTCACATTGACCGATTTCGCAACCTGCTCGGAGGGCACAAGATACAACGGCTGCTGTGCAGCGGTTCAAAGGTGTTTCCTTGCGGCTGGAAGCAGCCCTGGGCAGCTCGACCGCCGGGAGCCAAGTTGCGGCTATCTCGCAAATAAGGTACGCTTCGATCGTGTGGTCATCCTTTCAAGCCGCTTCTCATATGCTTCAGGCTGCTTCAGGTCAACCCCTCAGCTTCCCTCGGTCCTCCGGATCGGTGGTATCGTGTTTGAATTCGGCGATAATATTAAGAGCATTGACCTCAGTGTTTCGATCGTCGCGTGTTAGCAAGCTCAACAATATTGTGGTATTTGCAGCGTGTGTTTCTACCTGACCCTTATAATTTGACGTCTGAGCATCACACAGAATCAGTAAAAGTGTATGTACGTCGCAGATGCGATGCGAGGTTTATGTACACTTGGCTGGATAAAGAATATTACAAGACCGACACCACTTCCGCGCAGTGCAAGCTGACTATCTGCGCAGGTGTCTTAATGAATTGCGACCGACAGCTCAGGCGACCACTCCCCGCACTAGACTGATCATGCCTGGGCAACATAAGGCACCATATTCTCTGAGCTGGCATTACACGTATGCTTTCCCTTGTGGGTCTATCTCGACCTCGACAGCCTCGCGATTGAGACTCATTTATGCCTTCTCCCGACAATCAAGTGTCATGATGTCGTTCGTATTGTGTCTGCCTAAATAATGTATCATGCTATCCTTGTTCGCATTTCGATTCATCCCTTACAGTGCGTACTATAACCACTCATGGGTGTAATCATTCGTAGAAGTTCGTGGGACACCTTCGAAATATTTATCCGATGGTTCTTAGCTGGGCGGCTGAAATGTGCCCCGCGCAGGATGATGAACCTGTGATGTGCTCAAGGCCGTGCTGCGATCAACCGGATACGAGGCAAATCGTCAATTTCTCTTGCTAACCCTATATACTAGACCTAGATCTCTGCAGTGACTGACCACATGCTATCCTGTATCACCGCATGGATACCAACGCCAATTCGGGTGCAATCGTTTCCACCTTCCGCAAAAGGCCGGGGTTGAGAATTCTTTCAAGATTGATGTATTTGTTTAAGCTGTGTGGTTTCGCCGGTCGAGTTCAAATTGCTACGACTCATTTGATTGTAAGTCGACCAAAGTGCGCAGTTTTGTAGGTTGAGTTTAGTTAATCAAGTTAAAACTCATTTGAACCGTTACCGCCTCACGGTTGCCCCACGGCACAAAAATCTATCTTAAGCCTGTACAGCTGTATCCCCTTAAACACACAGCCTGTCACTGAGGTGTGGCGCCGTGCCACCCTCCTACTGTCTACAGAGACGTTTCTCGCGATCTAACTTGAAGGCTTCCGGCGCCCATGATCCATTTCGATGTGAACGCCCTCAGCCTATCGGCAATACTAGCTTGCTGAAGGACAGCGTATATTTGCTGGACGCTGATTTGCTTTCATCAGTCTTAATTCAACTGAACAGGCTGTGAAGTATTTTGTGCTTGACGCGCAGTATCGCAACATTCCTCACAATTGAGTTCAGTAAACAAAAAACGACATTTTTAACTATTTACATGCACGCTAGAATATAAATCATTCGGATCATTGCACTGCACAACAGCAGCTCCCAAGCATCCGAAGGTAAAGCGTCAGCCGGAATGTCTATGTAACAAAAGAACGATTGAAGGGGAAGACACAATCCAATCGAAATTGTGAGAGCAATGAGCACGTAAGCCCACGGTCGCACGAGGGAATGTAAACGTCAGTCGGGTGAAACTCCTATACTCCTGAAAGCAGACAGCCTAATGTACGTTGTAGATGTCGCAGGTAAATGATTAGCAAAAGAAAACCCGTAAATGTCTCTGGAAGTCCGTCGACTGGTATCGCTCTTTTGATGTCAGAGCAAATCTAGAAAAGCAAGGCGACAACAGCAGCAGCACCAGCAATGCCGGCAGCGCCAACGCGGATGACGTTGGCGGAGGCAGCGGAAGAGCTTGTCGAAGCTGAGCCGGCAGCAGTGGTTGCAGAGGTGCTACAGAACGGATGTGACGTCAGATCACGTGGTAACTTGACAACAAGTTCAATTTACGTATGGGCAGTAGTACCAGTGCCGCTGACACCAGAGGTAGTAGGAGTGGTACCAGTCGGTGCGGCAGCACTAGTTGCGACAGTTGGACCAGAGGAAACTGGAAACCGAAACATCAGTGGGGTGATAGTACATACATGCAACAGACGTACGCGACGTGGTGTTAGTGCACGTAGTTGAAGCTGCGCCAAAATTAAACCCTAAGCAACCGATCAACAAGATCAACTGAAACACGCACATCCGGGGTTCACGGTGAACGGCGCTGACTGTGCAGTCAAGCCAGTACTGTCGCGAAGGGTGAGACCAAGAGATGTCCCGGATTGGATGTTGCAGACCCAGGTCACTGAGGTGCTATTTTGCTGTCCCAAATTTTCAACAGCAGCACCATTGGGAGTCGCACCGGGTAGAATGCTGAAATAGTATTGAGTAAAATGACATGCGTATACGAAACGAAGTTATTACCTCTGTGTAAAACATAACAAAATAAAATTCGCTGCGGGTCAATGTCTGACAACCATGTTAATAGGACATCACCGACCAAGTAGTAGGGAGCTAAAACACAGTCAGACGCGGAAGACAGCGAGCTCCAATAACTCACCAGTTCCGCCCGACCACTGCAGGAGGGTGGGCTGGCACTCAACAACGTTGGCACTGTTCCGAGCAGGTAATAAGACCTCGACAAACTCAAGGTACACGTGTAAATTACTTACGGGGTATTAATGGTAAACTGAGCGAGAGTACCAGCTACGAAGAGCGCGAGGTAGGTGACAGAGAACTTCATCGTGAACTTATTGTCGTTGAGTTGAATGAGGACAACAACGGGGGAAGAAAGTTGAACAACTGCGTGGAAAAAAGGTTGTAGATTTTTTATTTATTTGCCCGACTTCTTTGTTTTATATAATATTTACATCATCACTAGCTTCCAAACACGCCACGCCAACTCCACTTGTAATGATCAAACCAATTTTGAACCAACTTCAGATAAACTTGAAGTACTATGTACAAAGTAAGTGCTCCTGCAAGTTCATTTCATGCATAGCTTCAACCCAATTTCTGTCGCAAGTCACTCATGGCTACTAGTAGAATCAGTTTTGAATTTTCGTTCAACACTGGACGCTCGTTGAATCGTTATTCGGGATGTCATTGATAGCGTAAAAATACATCAGATAGGGCCAGGCCCGATTGATGGTACTTCCGCAGTTCTTTAAGTATAGCGCGTCAGTGTTTTGGTCATGACATTGCACCCCGTCAAGTCTCACCAGCTGGTTCTTTCGTTATCTCTTCAATCTTCCCGCATAATGTGCACGCGTGTTACCAGTCCATAGTGGTCGCTCACCCATTTGCCCCTCCCAATCACCTCACCAATCCCTATTCTCTCTGGCTGGTCCACAATGAAACCCTCTTGACTGGTAGTGAGCACCTTGTCTAACCTTCCAGGTGGTAATTGTTCATGAGTCTGGTATCCCCAGGTGAAGCCTTCCTCCTCCTCATCACCTTCCCAGGCGTCATACAGCCCGGCTGCATCCACGATCGTCTCATCAGTAGGGCTGATAGCATTCATATCCCCTGCGACAATGCCCCCGGATATTCCCCTCCCACGCAATGCAGCTGCGACGAGTTTCAATTGCCTGGGCCGTGCCGCGGCTCCTTCTAGCAACGATTCAAGATGCGTGTTTGCAACGCGCAGGGTAATGATGCCCCCTGATAGGCGAGGTTCGTCTTCGTGAGCTGGGACGCTCAGTTTAATATCAACGAATATGGCATTGCGTTTCATCTTAGAGTTGCTGAATGCGATGGTGAAGACATTGACCACGGGAATTGTGCGGGAGACTAGTGTGACATTTCCATACTTTGCTTGGTCTGGCCACTTGTCCACGCTAGCGGGCACAACTATGAAACAGCGTCGCACCCATTCGGCATTGAGAATCTGTGCGAAAACTGACTCGTGTATTTCCTGCAATAGGATGCAGCATGGTTCAGGCCGTTCATTAGTGGTCCTGCAGTCAAGAACGTGTTGCTGGATGTAAGAGAGGGCAGCAAGGAGCCGTTTCATCCTATCGGGAGCTGCAAAGTCGAGGTTCCATGTCACGAGGCGGACAGTAGATGGTAGGGGCTCCCTGACGCCTCTGGCGCAGTTGGAAGTCTGAGCCCAACGCTTTTTGCGAGATGAATAACGCACTGCGCGGAGCGGTATTTGGGCATCTGCCTCATGCCGCACGCGCACTCTTACTTGCAGGGGAGGAGCTTCATCTGGCTCCGTTTCATAGAAATCGGAGGGCGGGGAAGGTATGAACGATTCATCGATATCAGACATCGTCGATGGAGTTATGAGACGGATGGATGGCTGATTGAGTCTGGTCAAGGTGACGATGCGCTACAGCGTGCAAGAAATGTCGTGATGATGTTCCACTCAGGTTAAGGTGGTCAGCAGATGGGGCCCATCCAGTTTCGAATTCAAGAAATAAGTAGTCACGCAGTCCATTGTGATCGGTTGCATATCAGTCCTCGAGGCTCCTCGAGGCCTTCTTTTTTTCCGACGTCAAGTGCAACGTGCCCTCAAGAAATTAATCCGAGTCCTGTTTTAGTTGTTTGCCAGCGTCTACAAATTACGATAGGTCCAAAAGTGAATATTATCTTTAAATGTCATTGATTGCGTGGTGGAAATCACCGAAACCTGGGTTTCTAGAGGCCGATCGACAAGCATGAAGCTTTGAAGCTCGGATGATAGATAGTACCGTCATGACATCCGGATTAACAAGTGTGTAGATCCGTGCACAAAGCAGATAAGCGTGCGACATCAAAGCTCAGCCGTCGCTCTGCCGATAACACTCTCAACCTTCTCCTCTGCCTCCTCTAACTTTTTGGCCACGAATGCGCTCAGAATGTTGGCCTTCGTTTTGATCTCATCGAGCTTGGCAGGTGACATCGTGCGCTTGGTCAGGATAGACGCGAGACTGATAAAGAGATATATCGGTCCATGATCAGTTAAACGCATACAATTGCTTACCGCTTAGACTCCTTCTCGATATAGGATTCCTGGTCGTTTACAACTTTCTCCATCACACGGATATAGTATTTTGCCGTCTCGCCGAGTGACTCGGAAAGCGCCAAAGCCTCCTTGTGAATATAATCACGAGCGTCACCGGCAGCGCCCAGGAACTTCTGGGCAAGGGTATCGAGTTCCGCGATACGGCCAGCCTGCACTATGTCAGGAGAGGGTTTAGTTACCGGTTTGCACGTGACCCACCTCATCGTTGAGACCACCACCAACGGCGCGATAAGTTCCGCAGCGCTCGTTGAGGAAAGCAACGAATGCTTGTTCGGTGCGAGGGCCTTCATAAGCCTCGACTTCCTTTCCGCCACGAGGGAAGAACTTGATGGTAGGGTAAGATGACACTCCGTAGCGACCAGCAATCTCCTTGTTCGGTTGTGCATCCGCGTCAAAGTTGGCAACAACACACTGCAAAAAGTATACTAATTAGCTGAAACAGTAAATAGATCACCGAGCACTACACACATTGCCCTCTGCTTTGAAGTCAATCGCAACTTGTGTGCAGGCATTAGGGAAATTATCAGAGAAATAAAAACTGACGCTTACCTTGTTCATAAATTGGCTTGAGGTTCTTGCAATGCCCGCACCATGGCGCAGTAAACGTGACAAGAACGTCTTTTGTCTCATCCAAGGCGATATCATCAAAGCTGTGGACATCAAGGATCAAGGTTTCAGGGGGCGGTGGGGGCTTGATATTCGATTTCACACCAGATTTCGCAGTGATGCTGAAAGAATACATTAACACGGGGAGGGCATATAAATGTCGTGAGCTCACAAAGAAGCAAGTGCGTCAAGGTCTCGGCCGCCTTCGTAAGGCTCGATGTTCCCTTTCTCGTCAAACCACTTCAAAGCTACATTCAAATATTGAGTATAGTATTCGTAGAAATTTCATATTGGAACTCACTAGGGTACCCAGTGACACCGTATTTCTGTCCCAAAGGTTTACCCGCACCATCAGCATCGACTTTGGCAACGATAACTTTGCTCTTTGCGTGCGCAAAGGCATCTCCAAGTTGCTCGTATATAGGAGCGAGGTTCTAGAGTAAGCGTAGGCTTAAGTGTTTTACTCTCGTGTTATTACAGGGATACATGCCTTGCAGTGACCACTACCGCGAGGTGTTCGTCAACTAGGGTTCACATGAGAGTGCAGAACACAACGTACCACCAAGGGGCAAAGCTGAAAGTAGAAGTTCAGGAGAAGAGCTTTTAGCAAATACCACGGCGAGCTCACAATTCAACCAAACCAGGCTTCCCCTTACCAATTTCGCTGTCAAAATTGTCCGGGTTGAGTTCGACAACATTAGAGGCACTGACGCTAGCCAACAGTCCCGCAAAAAGAAGCGACAGTGACAGCTTCATGATGGTAGTTGGATAATTAATGGAAGAATACTGAGAGACGACGTGGAGCTTGAAGTCCAAGTAAGCATCAATAGATGTGCCTTATTATTAGTCAGCGGCTTAGAAGGACAGTCAATATTAATCATCTTCTCGTTATCACTTTTCGGTGTAGCTTGACTCAGCGCGAGATTTCTCAGCAGCTGCAAGCATATAACAGGGCTTCTCTAAAACAACACCGACCATATCACTCTGATACTATCGATGAATACAGCCCAGGAAATAGTGGAGTACGGTTCAGATGAAGAAGGGGACGTGTTCATCGACTCGGGCGATGTCCTTGCAGAGGTTCCCAATGATGGTGATCATCTTATGGACGAAGATGATGAAGCAGAAGATGGGGTTGGCGATCTTCCATCCGGAAATTCTGATGTAAAGGACAACTCGCTGCAGCACTTTACCACTCACAATGGCTCTGTGTTTGCTATATCATGTCATCCTACGGAACCGCTTGCAGTCTCCGGGGGTGAAGATGATCTTGGATACATATGGGATATAACGGACGGAGAAGTTATCGTAAAACTTACTGGACACACGGATAGCGTATGCAGCGCGTCTTTCAGCAGCGACGGTCAGATGGTTGCCACTGGTGGAATGGATGGGAAGGTGAGGATATGGAGAAGAGTTGGTACAACCGACTTCAGAAATTGGGAGTTCTTGACTGAACTCCAGGGTCCAGATGAAGTGATTGTAAGTGTATCAGTGGACTCCTTGGACTATATTCCGATAATTCAAATTCAGTGGCTACGCTGGCATCCTCGCGGAACAATTTTACTCGCAGGTTCCAACGATTCTACGGTTTGGCTGTGGCAATGTATGTCAATGGTATACTAGCCCTCCCTGACATACTCACGTTAACAGTACCATCGGGGAATACTATGCAGGTATTCGCCGGACACAGTGGTCCAGTTCAATGTGGAGAGTTTACGCCTGACGGTAAGTCCGAAGTACTGGAGCCCAAAAAATATCATTAACTTTTTGTTCGTCAGGCAAGCGTATAGTAACCGCCTCTGAGGACGGAACTCTCATGTATTGGGATCCGCGATCACCAACTCCGTTGTTCAAACTCTCACCACAAGACGCCCGTTTTGATCTTGAGAACATTACATCTCTTGCAATAAATGCTTCTTCTACACTCGCAGTTGTCGGTGGAACGTCCGGGAGTGTGCGTGTAGTCAGTCTCAGTAAGGGTGAGGTCGTCGGTGCCCTTGGAGGACACACTGAGGGGGAGAGCGTTGAAGCTGTGCAATTTGTCGATCTCACTGGAACGGGAAGCAGCCCTGGTGTTGTGGTCACTGGGGGGACGGATGGGAAAGCGTGTGTATGGGACCTCACCACAATGAGACTCCGTGCAACTCTCGAGCATCAGGTAAACTAATGTTTGTATTGGAAGGTTACTGTGCTGACGTTCTACAAGGACGCAGTAACGTCATTGTTAACTCACCCAGCACCAAAAAGTCACTTGATAGTGACAGCATCCGCAGACAACACGCTCCGCACGTGGGATGCTCGCACTGGCGCATTAGTCAAGGAGCACACCGGACACCATGGCCCTATACTCAGCGCGTCTCTGGGACTCCAAGGTTCCGTGGTTGTTAGCGGTGGGGATGATTCGGCTTGCCTAGTCTTTACTACGGAGGTCGACGAGTCGGGATAGAGGCTCACATTTTGAAGAACCTGCCACTGTGTTAGGTCGCTATGCCAGTTGTCATTCCTGGCATGTCACAAGAAAAATACCCTTGTACTGTCCAGTTGGAATTATAGATTGTTCGAGAGCATGTGGCTCGAGTCATACCCTGCAGTACTGCAAGCAGACGACTCTCATGCAGTTGGTTAGTATCCTCCAATGATTGCCCTACTTCCGATCGAGGAAACAGAGAGGAGTAACAAGGAATTAAGTTGGATGGCCACTTATATACAGGTGTGTGCATTCACAAGATCGTACATCACCGAGAGTTCGCTCGATAGTACACTTTCTAAATGGTATCGATCATGGAATGTTATCATTGAAGGAGGACTCGTCCCTCAAGCGGTTCCATTATAATGATAATGTGATCCGAAGCGCTACACGTTTCAGCACTACTTACACTTACCTACAGAGTACTAGTGATTTTCCAGATAGTAATAGTAATTATTTGCTACAGCGGCAGAAAGTAACCGAAAAGTAGATACAACAACGTGCAACCAATATATACGTAGTCACCGCAGCCGGTGACCACACACACGCAGCGGTACCCACGATATAAACAATCAAAACATCGATATATATTATCTTGTCCTCGATCCTCTTACTCGTACCACTATATACACCATTTAACGTGTCTGGGAGTCTTGGTGTTTATTTTGATCGACGGACATGTATAACGGATTCCAAGCTGAAAGCAACAATCCGTTCTTGAGTGATGCTCAGGCTGCCCCTGCACATGCCCGTTTCCCCGATATTTCTGCATCGACCCTTCCACAGTCGCCGCCGCAGATGGGCTACCAGTCTTACGACACCGGTAATCAGCAACAGCCCTATTTCCAACAACAACAACAGCAACAATATCCGCAGTTTCAAGGACAGACACCCTATAACCAGCCACAGCAATACCAACGGAATCAGTATGCGTCTACGTCTTATAGTTCGGGGTATGTCAATCGTACATAGCCTACATTAACTGCAGACTTACTTTCACGTTTCACCAGACAACTTGGCCCACAATCGACTGGCCTGCCTTTTCAGCCGTCTGGTCATTTTGGACAACAGCTAGTGTCCCAAGTAGACTTCCAACAGCCTTATCAACAATATCCAAACGGGTACCAGAACCAGTATGCTCAGCAGCAGCAGCAACAGCAATACGGAGGTTACCAAGGTGGCTACCAGCCTCAGCAACAAACCCCGAGTTACCTCTCTGAGTTTGATCCATACACACCCCACCCCACTCCTTCACATAACAGGTCCAGTTCCCAGCCAACTAGCCTTGCAAGTCACAATCCTGGTGGTGCGATGCACCCTCGGGATTATATTCGCCAACATAAAGCTGAACTGGAGGCTTGGGATCCGTACACGTGGAAGCAGATGTTTAACGCTTGTGATGCGCTCAGCGCAGCCTGGCTTACACGCAAGCAAGAGGCGGAAAGGGTAGTACAGCAGCTGGGCGGGAACGGTGCACCGGGTTTGTTCGGTCCACCATCTGGTTATCAGGCATATGGCAGCGAATTTCAGAAATGGCAACAGGTAATTGCTTCCTCATCGAATGATTTGCACTTGACTTACCCATTCCTCCAGATTGTGAAAGAAGCTAACTCGTATCATGGTAATCTCTGTACTCTACTGCGAGTTTTGCCAGTATTCATCATGCACTTTCTACAGATACCGTCGCGGCCTCTGCATTTCAGCTGAAAGAGGTTCACTCCTCATATAGACAGTCAGGAGATGCTGTGAGCAAGCGACGCGTGCGCGAATCTTGCAACGCTGCGCTGTCGAACTTGCCCGACTGGCCTGCACCATTAAATGCCAATCAGTCTTGGTAGAATTTCTTCACCTTGCTATGGATCATCGATCAGCAAAGTGATTTACGTTACGATTCTTTACGCAAACATGTCATTGTATTTCTTGCTTTTGGGTTGTCCTGTTCTGCATCTCTCTGTTGTAGACTACTGGCGCCCGCGTGATGCTGTATTGCTACGCATTGGGGCGGTTTCTCTGTCACCTCTTACTTACATTCTTCCTTTCTTGCAACTAACCAAATGGGAGTTCTTGTATTTCTATGGATTTATGATCGTTGCAGACATTGACCCAGCTGGTGGTCACGGTGATACTCAAGTACACCCTTGTATTTGCATGATTTTTATCACTCGTCCCACCATGCACTCAATGCATACCCAGTGGCCGCCAAGCGTGAGTTCCCACTAAATATGTATTGCATCGAACAAGTCCTGGGGACTCCAAATTTTCAGATGACAAAGGCCGCACCGTGCTGACCGGCGGGCGAGTCAAAGTGGTACTACCCTCGGCACTTTTTGGCGCTTTCTGAATCAGAGGTCTTTGAAATTTTGTTGAATTACAAGTTTATAACTGTTGGCCAAACCGTGAGCATGCGCTGATTGTGTAACCTTTGCAGATCTGAATCCGTGTTCCATCACAAGGCGCAGAGTGATGATCGATGATCCTCGGACCCTCAGGCCTCAATATGCAATCTCTAGATGATACATACTACGATTTCAAGACGTTCAGTTCTGAGGGTGCTTTCGGCGTCACCCGCTGCGAATAAAGCCAGAAAGTTGTCGCATGAAAGTAGCGACAGCGTATCCTTTGCCGCAGCATCACCTGAGGAAGGACTAGAGCTTCGTTGTGCGTCGAAATGCAACAGTGTCCACTGCTCAATGGACCAGAAGGCGAGAATAGGCCAAGGTGTGCTGCCAACTTATCATTGTCCCAGAATAATGATGGTATAATGCTACTTAGATTTCAGAGCGGGGGAAAGGACACACTGGGTCCTGACTGAGTCTGCTGACAGAACAATGTACCGCTAAATTTTGTCTTTCTGTGGTTCGTCATTTTCCTGTTTTACATTATGCGCTCTTGTTACAACGTTGGTGATCTATTGTGACTACTGCGCTTTTGCCTAACACTTACACACGTCTGTAGACACTGGCGCAATGTGGCTCTCGAGTGCTCGACTCTTTGGAGATACATTAGCACTCCTTCTGCTTTTTGGCTAGACCTCATGCTTGAGAGGTCGAAGGAAACTCCTTTGGTTGTCACATACACCATTCCGATGCCACTAGATGATTGCTTGGAGAAAGTTTTGTTACATCTACCTCGGATCGAATACCTCGAATTTGCTTCATGGTCATGTGATGTCGGTCACGTTATGGATCTGTTATCATCTCAGCCTGCACCGATGCTTAAAACGTTCAAATTCCGGGCTAGAGATGGCCTTCCAATGGGACCCATATCAGCCCCCATCTTCCAAGGACAAGCACCCCTACTTCGGGACGTCATGGTTGACTATTGTGATCGCAGCTGGTCATCGTGTATTTTTGGCGGGCTTCGCTCTCTAAATATGACAGGAACGCGCTTGCAGGACCTTCTTCCAGCTCTGCGATGTATGCCTGCCTTGGAGCTACTTGTGCTTGACTCAACAAAATGCAACGAAAGAATGCTGTTCGATAAGGTGCCACTCCCTCAGTTGAAAAGTATACATCTATGTGCCACCTCGCTCCGAACTGCTGTGCCTGTCTTCGCACATCTAGCCCTTCCCGTCGACGTCAAGATTTCGTCTCCTTTCAATACAAGGGCCCAAAACCTTCTCTGATCTATTTTCGGCCATTTATAAGCACCCTGGTGGATCCGGTCCTGTCTTATGGTCGTTGCGTGCCACCAATGTCAATGACAGGCATATGGCTGTCCAATTCAGCACGTCGAGGGCAATCAAGAATGCTGACGATGATGATATACGACTGTCGATACGATTCTTCTTTGACCTACCTGATGTACGTCAGCCAGACATCGTACTCGATATGTGGCGGACCATCACCCACCCAAGCCATCGGGCCTTCTTTTCTGGGGAACTCGAATTCATTCATTTTGAGGGGTTTACAGGCTTCATTTGGGGCATAACCGCTGCGCTCCGGATTAAAAGGTCGTCAAATGTAACATATCCCTCGCTCCGTGTTCTGGAGCTTCAAGATATGATGCTCCACGATGACGAACTTAAAGATCTTCGAGACATCTTGGCAATGTGAATCACACATGATCATAAACTTCGCATACAAGACCTCCGGCTCATGCTATGCAGTAATTTCACGACCGATCAGGAGCAGCTCTTTAGGGAGGTGGTTGTGAACGTCGATTGCGATGAATGGACTCTTAATGCTAGGCGCAGTTCGAGAGAGAGGCTGCCCTGATTGCTTTGAATAGACTGGCGTTTTCATGTATTTTACAGTATGTATGTATCGTAACAGTGTCGGCGCCAGCCCTCGACTCGCTTAAGTTTAGCCAAATTTTGATTTGTTATGTCTGTAAATTATACCTTGTACGGTCAGGACCGAGGCTCTTAATTAGATGTATTGAACTCGTCTCAGTAACAATCTTACAAAAAATATCTATTTCAGTCATGTTCATGCAACTTGAATTGGTAATCCCATCGCAACTCGCGCAATATGCTCCTTCACATCCGTGTCGGCGCCTAAGCCAACGTATGTGGTGTTCGGCTTGTCCTTGACAAAGTCGGGGGGATTGATGCCCGCGAGGAACGTCTCTGCTTGTTTCTTCACATACTCGGTGTTCATGGGTGTCTGTGGCACCGCGCCGATGTACATAACTGAACAACAACGATTTGCATTGGTGTGATCCTTAAACCAAGAAATGCAGAACGTACCTGCCGAATCTTCTTGACCGGTGTGCTCTTCCTCGACGGAGTGTACAACATCCTGTGGATTGCGCTCGCATGAGAAATATTGGAATATAAGGCAATGGAAACATACGCAGTGCCAGAACACCATATCTCCCGGGTTAACCTTCGGCACGGACGTCATTGTCTTCTCAAGCCTGAGGTGCGGGTGCACTTCTGGCGTCGGGCGCGGACCAGAGAATCCGGTTGGATGGATTAAGATACCAGGGAAATCAGGGGTTGAGATGTCTTCCGATGAAGTCAGCTTGAGCTAATGCTGTTCAAATAAGTAGACATACCAAATACCCAATTCTCTGGCTTGAGGATATCCTCCGAGTCGGGCGGGACGGTGGGGCGGAAGAATGGGCGGAGAATAGTGTATGCGTTTGAGAGGACAAGATCAGGGAATACCCGGAGCGTTCCCTGTGTTGGAGCAGCCTCACTGGAATTACGACCATGTCAGGTCTGCTGTGTGAATGGGACCAAAATTTCGTGGAATACAAACCTCATTGCCAACCAACCTTGGTAAGACCTGAATATAGTCGCCTAAAATAACAAAGATTAGGTAGCTAAAAGGACAGAGGGAATACCTACTTGTCCCGGTCTACCATACAACGAGCTCCGGGCATCCAGACGACCCTCGAGTTCATATGGGTCGTGCGCGCGCCAGTTACCACTGAGAATATCAGCGAAGCATTTACGGAAGCTTTCATCCTCCCAGCGCTCAATTGCACCACCTTGCGTATGCTCAGCTATTTCGATGATTCAATTTTGTGTGGCAGAACGCACCATCGACATGAGGGGGGAAATTATTCCATCCTGGTCCAGGATGGCGAATACGGAATCGGTCGGCATACACAAGGGGAACATCGAGGTCAACGCCCTCGAGTGGCTTGCCTGACTTAACATGATACTGCTTGTTTAGCCACGCGGAAGCTTTGAGGACATTTGGGTGTGCGCGGGCTTGCACTTGTGGACGCGTCCAGCTAATAGAGTGATCGGAACATCTTTCAAAATGATTGGAAAAAACGTGCTTACTACAGCATGAAGAATTGCTTGTCTTGCTCAGGGAATCCTGTTTGCCGCATCAATAACGTATTGTCCAGAATATTTACTCGATACCTTGAACATGGGGATTAGCTTTGACGAAGTCATCAAGGGCAGTCTTCCAAGCTCGGGCTTCACTATCATCGACAACATCCTTGATAACGACGGTGCCTTTGCGCCGAATGATATCGACTTCCTCGGCAGAGAGCTTATCAAGGTCCTCATACCGGACTTGGGGGATATACTATGCACGTGGTCAGGTTGTATAAAATCAAGGAGACAAGGTGGGCGCTCACATCCGGGCCAGTTTGCGCAATGTCGGCGGTACGCTTGTCGAGCTCTCCGAGGAGATCCTTCCAAGATTCTGTGAGACGCTTCTCATAGTCGGGCGTAGCCTCGACTATCTGGCGCTTCAAGTCAACAAATCGCTCTGGCCATGTAGTGTTCTGCATGTTGCTGCGGGGAATGTACTAGAAACCTGCAATAATGAACAATAGGAAGTGACTCGGGCTTATATACCTCCCGTGATATAGGATGTTCGTGCTTATAGAATGATCAGGTGGATCATTTACGAAACAAAGGAAATATAAGGAGTTTCCTCGGTGAATATTACGTGCTATAATTAAGCGTATCGGACTTGGAGGATGAGTAGTAAGGGACACGGGATGACTCACAAGACACTAACGGGGTAAGAACAAGACGGCCCGGTGGGCTTTATGTTGACCCGACAACAAAGTGTTGCATTTCACAAATCATGGGGCGTAGTGTATGAATCATTTATACAACATGAGACGAGTAGAACCGCAGCTCGAGGCGTCTGCCATGTGACGGAGAAGGCCACACATTCAAATCACTGGCAGGTAAACTTTTTTCTCAAGTCTATAGGTTAAACATTCGTTTAATAGATATCTGGAATTCTTTAAGTCAACCTTACTGTTCACTTGTCGAGGACGTAGGCAGACGCTGCAGAGAGAAAGAAGACGGAAGACCACTACTAGTATATACTTAGGCCTGATAGAACTTTGAAGCTTGAAATTTCTGAAAGCCGGACTTAAGCCCCACGTGATCGAAATACACCTATTATGTTTGGTCATGTTTGACTCAATGCTCGCCAAATTCTTTCCAGTGCACCTCTGATCAATTCTACTTTAACGTTGTCACCATCGGTCTCGACAGCGAGCTCGACATTTCTTAACTGTTTGTTTATTTTGCTTTAAAACCGATCTCATGCTTGTGAGCGAACTTTTTTGACTCGAAATTCTGTTTCATTGACCCGGATCGCGTTTCCGATCTAGTCATAACTTTGAAATCGTGTTCGATTGCTGTCATCTGGAGTAATCCAACATTCATCGACATCGATAAACTCACAAAGCAGAAATTTGTTAAGGTGTCACTCTCCATAAATTCCATAACTCAATAACTCACACGGCCTGCAAGTTGCAGCATGGATGAAGATGACGAAGACTCTCTCTTTGGCTCGCCGCCCCCATCTCCAGTTAGAGGTAGGTCACCGGCATTTCCTGCTCAAGCAGCCCAAGAGAGGGGCACAGGCATAACACAAAATGTGGGGGCCATTGCACTTCCTGGTTCCCATATGTCATGTTCTGAACTACCAGCCGACCTACTAGCATTGCCGTTCGGCGGCTTTAGCACTCGCGAGCCTCCCTCGCATGCGGTGCTAGTGCAAAATACCTTACAAGCGCACCTGACGCAATCGCCTCGTGTTGCTTCATCGGTACCTTTCTCGACATCTCGCCCCTCTTCTAGGGCCATGGGAAAACGGAAAGCGACAAAATCGCAAGCAGCAACGCCCCGTCCTGCACCTCCGCCTATACCGTTACCTGGCCCAAATGAACCATTACCTTCTAATTTCTTGCGAAACCAGGAAGCGTTATTAGGCATAGCCGGCCTCGTCGGAAACGTGAAACCCATCAGCCTTCCACAACAAACAGTCCGCGGGTCTACGCCTTCTAACCCTATCATTATTGAGGAATCTGATCCAACGCGCCTGCCTCATGTCGATCCTAATCAGCTCACTTCAGTCAATGGAGAAGATGCTATCACTTCCCTCATCAGACAGAAAAATATATATCCTGTGTTATCAAGCATCGTGAAACTCCTAGGCAACTCTCTAGCTGCGTCCACACAACCACCATCTACTTATGATCGTGCATCTTCGCACCCATGCAGTGAGCCAGCAACGACTGCTCCACCCCCACTGAAGCGTCGCAAACTCACAAGCGTCCCTGCTGGTGCAGTGGAGTGGGACGTGCCCTACCCATTTCCTGAAGGTGAGGGCCCTGAGGCATATCACGCTACATGGGAGCGGGAGCGTGTGAGGCATTTAATTTCGCAGCTTGTGGAGTCGATCAAGGCTGCTTCTGAGCCATCTCCGCTTGATGTCGATCAGGTACCACCACCTTCTTCGCAGTCATCCTTGCGTGCCTCTGAACCCTCCAGGCGCACATTGTCACCATCTCTTATATCACCTACAACTACCAATACCTTTCAGCATATAATTCCTGACAGCACCATTGATCCTGCACTTCTTGCTATTTCCGTTCCACCATCAGTCACATACAATGCATTTTCTCCGGTTCCAGCACTCGTTCATTCTCCAATCACATCCACCGATTCGTCTGATGGGGCTCTCACCCCACCTGCATATAATGACCAAGGTGCATTGTCTCAAGGTAGTTGGATGGCTAAATATGCTCACCTGTTCCACGCGAATGACGTAGATTCAGTGACTGCCGCCAAAATGTTGTTGCAGTTCGCTGCAAATCCTACTGTACCTCCGCCTACTCCTTCACACATAGACATTTCGCCGGCGGTACTTACGCCATACCCTCAAACTGCTCCATCTCATTTCTCATCATTGACGCAGCCAGTCTCCCCTCAAATATCTCGCGCGCCGTCGGTCCAATCCACGCATAAATCAACACCTGTCGTTCCTCGGGGCGCCGGCTTCAAGGCGGTTCATAAAGAAGACATCCTCCAGCGCGCAAGGGAACGTCGCCGACAGATTGTTGGAGAGATCGAGCGGGCAAAAGTGGAGTTATGGGAGACGAGTATTGAGGGAGGGGTGTTGGGGCATCTGATGAAGGATCCAACGCTGTCTTAATACGGTTTACTTACGAGATTCAGTGTGTATCGCATGCAGTGGTAGCTCAATCCGTTCCTCGAGCTATGCATTCACTGGCTTCATGCTATATAACTACCGCTACGCGCCGCTCCTGAATTTGCATTGAAGACTTGTTAAAGAGGCAGCTTTTGTGCCACGTGATCCCGACGCGTCGCGTTCGAACTTCGGGGACGTAAACATACCTCAACAAAGGTTCTGCAGGACGCGCTGTCTGGGGTGCACACGACTATCGCCACCATAAAATCGCAATGGCGCCCGCTCGCAATGCCCAGCTTGATCAAGAAAAAGAAGAATATCGTGCTAGCATCGCCGAGGCCCTCCAGGAAGACGAAGATCCGCTTGCTGCCTACGACGACTTTGCCAAATGGACCGCACAACAGTATCCTGCAGATGACATGACATCTGGTCTCGTCGAGCTACTTGAAGAGATTACCAGACGTTTCAAAGATGATCTGAGGTATAAGGGCGATCTCAGATATCTGAAACTCTGGTCGGCATATGCGAAGCAAGTCGAGAGACCGACCATTATTTACTCATATCTCGTAAAGCATGATATTGGGTGTGTATATGCACTACTTTATGAGGAATATGCGGGAGCACTGGAAAGGGAGGGAAGGTGAGTACCTTGTATACCTGAAGGCTAAGCGCGGGTTAGGTGAACCATTTATCTGCATGGTCCAGACACACCGAGGCCGACAAGGTTTTCCGTATCGGGATCACGCGTAACGCTCGTCCAATCGAGAGGCTGAAGAAACGTTATCGCGATTTCCAAGGCACCCCTTCATCGTCTAAACCCACACCCATCACCTTCCGACCGAGTGGGTCCCAAGAAATCGATGCCCTCCGTCGCAATCCTCTCAAAAACCACAAACCACCACCTGCTTCGTCCTCAAGTAATTCAAACAAATCATCATCCTCTAAATCTAGTACTCCACAAGCCTCCGCGTCGAGCCCTAGAGCTCATAGCCGCTATGCTCCGATGCTCGCTCCTCCTGTCCCAGGGAGGCGCCCAGAGAAGCTGCGCTTCAATCTCTCACTGCTTTTCACTGGAGACGGTGTTGAATACAGCGCCGCTGAGGTGCGCGCCCGCTCCATGGGACTTCTCAACAAGAAATGGGGTTCGCCCCCACCTTCGGAGGCACGCGAGACCGTTCGAGTGAACTTTAACGATGACGGCACACGGAGCACACAGAATATGGGGTACGGGAAGCGCAAGAGTATTGTGACTTTAGGAGAGCCAACTGTCACAATCAATACGAAAGAGGCGCTGGCAGATGTATTTGGAATGTATAACTCCCCGGATAAGACTGTAAAACGGATGATGCCTGGGAGTAAACATGCGCCTGTGAAGAGGATTGAACCCATGACAGCTGCAACAAGACAGCCACCATCTGTTGTCCAAGTGGAGGATGAGAATGCTAAGACACCGGGTAAGCAGAAATTCACTTTATCTTTGGGGCTCATTTATATTATGTCTGAAGGTGCATTCAAACCCTTCGTCGATGAGAACGCGAACCGCAAGGAGAATAGTACCCCTGCGGTAAAGGTGCTAAAAATAAACACTGCTTTCCTTCATTCAATGCTAAATCAGCCGGTAGTTCAAACCCTTCGTGGACGAACCCCCCAAACAATCGTTTGCTACTCCTGATATCGGTCGGCGAGCTCTCACAACGAAGGACAGCACTCCTGCTACCTCTTTTAAACCTCCCGCCACCCTCAAAGCCATCTCCGAAGAAAATTTGGGGCGAGAAAATGAGAATGTCAACGCCAAAGCCAGTGTATTCTCGCGCGTCTTCACTCCCGTATCTCAGAAAGAACCTCTCACCCGACCCAACTCACAGGGGGCGAAGGTTAGCCCTCTAAATGAGAACCCGAGTATCTTTCAGGTTCCTGGTCCTAAACAGGAGGCAGCACCATTCGTTGCATTCGTCGACTCCAAAACGCCTTTCAAGGTCTTCAGTCGTCCACCATCATCGCACGATGGTAGTGAGAACGCAGGACACGTTTTTACCCCGAAGCCGAGCACGTTCAAGGCGTTTGTGGATACCAGTACCATTGCCATGTCTGAGAACCAGGTGGAACATGAAGCTCCTCGAGCACCAAGGACGCCGGCGTCCGAGACCTATACCGATGAATCCAGTGATCTCGCAGACGACCCTCAGCAGAACTTTTCCTCGAGTGACGAACCTTTTGAAGATGGCTATATCGAGGGAGAACCCGATGTACCCTTCTCCTCATCTTCAAGCATTAGCGATCAGTTCGAAGAAGAATACGAAGACCAACCGCAGCCTCTTGGAGGTCGCTTCGGCAGGATAAACGTGATGACGCCCATCACAGAACGTACCTTTGAATTTAGCACTCGCGGATTCCCCACGCCGCATGAGAATGGTGCAGTCGAGACTGCAGAACAACTTGCTGCGGAGCTGAGAGAGGAAGACGAACGTGAACGAGGATATGTGCACGATGGGGAAGAGTCGGACTCATCGTTCGCTTCTTATGACCGACCAGGATCGGTCCCGCAATACCAGCCGGCAGATCTGGAAGTGATCGAAGAGCGCACAGGGACTCTTAGTCTCTCAGATGCTCTGGTAGTAGTGTCTGCCTTCAGACCATCGAACCCCTGCAATCCTTTCGACCCTTCAATCATGTCCACACTACTTTCCCTCTTACCTGGAGACGAAGATTTTCACGACCTGCGAGGGCAGGACTCGGGCATGCTCGAGGGTCTACAAAAGTTCGCAGCCAAGAAGAGCAGGCGAGGGAGTGGTTCGAGCTCCAAAGGGTTCGATGACGATGCGTTCATGGTCACCCTGGAAGGAAAGAGACTGAAGGTGGTGGATAAACTAGGCGAAGGTGGCTTTGGAGCAGTATTTACAGCTCGAGATGTTTCATCCAAGAATGAAGATGATGAAGACGAAGACGAAGACTTGGATGAAGACGATGAGGAGGACGGTTCTTCGATGCTTGCTCTGAAAGTCGTGAAGCCTCGAAATTTATGGGAATTCCACGTCCTGCGCAGAATCCACCGCACGCTCCCTGAACCACTTCGCCATTCCCTCGTCCTACCTTATGCTCTCTACGCGTATCGCGACGAAAGCCACCTCCTTATGCAGCTATGCCCGCAAGGCACCCTGCTCGACATCGTCAACCGTGCTGGCACTACTGGCATCTCGCAGCAAGGGGCATGTCTTGATGAACTGCTCGTCATGTTTTTCACGATTGAGATCATGCGCTTCCTCGAAGGGATGCACAACGCAGGGTTCATCCATGGTGATCTCAAGATTGATAACTGCCTCCTACGCCTCGAAGACGTTCCAGGTGGCGCTTCCCTCTCCAGTATATACCAGCCCTCGGGTGAAGGCGGTTGGAAATGCAAGGGCGTCAGGGTCATTGATTTCGGGCGGACGCTCGACACGTCCCTCTTTCCTCACAACCAACAGTTCGTTGGTGACTGGGCGGCAGACGCACGAGACTGTTTTGAGCTAAGGGAACACCGACCCTGGACATATCAAACCGACTACTTTGGTCTCGCTGGGATCATTTACTGCATGCTGTTCGGCAAATACATCGAAACGTCATCCATCACCCCCCACTCTCCTTACAAGGTCACGACGCCGTTCAAGCGCTACTGGCAGAATGACTTATGGATGAGGTTATTCGATCTCTTACTCAATCCTTGCCTCGTGCGTTCGGACGGCAAGTTGCCCCTGTGCGAAGAGCTCAGTGATATAAGACATGAAATGGAGGGTTGGCTGCAGCACCACTGCAACCGGAGTAGTAACACGCTCAAGGGACTACTAAAAAAGATCGAGCTTTCAGTGTACACTAAATAAATAACACCTCACTTCACCCATGATTGATGGTTTAGCTGTTTTCTCACATACATACCTAGCAAATATCTCCCTCGGGTACTCAGTTTTCGGTCCACGCCATCAATTAATGTCAGAGATTGATAGCTACAACATGCGCCCAGAAGACATCTGGACTATGAAACACAACAACAATGACATAACTGCGTGAAGACAGCGGACAACAGATAACGAGGAGAAAAGATGCGGATACCATGCTACCTGTCGCTCAATCATGCATGGCCCACACCACCCATCTGTGGAGGAGCCGGGCCAGCTTCATATGGGTGAGGAGGACCATTTGGCCCTGCAGGCGGCATCATCATAGGGTAAGGGACAGCGTGTTGTACTGTAACAATGAAAGGAACATTCGTCAATCACAGCAAATTTAAAATTGGATCAACACGCACGTTGTGGGCTTTGGTGGTAGTATGCGTGCGCGTGAGAGGGGATGGGAGTAGGTGGCATGGATGGGCGTGGACCAGCACCGTTGGGTGGGGGAGGGTACGTGCCAGGTGGTGGTTGCATGTATTGTGGTGCTACGACAGAAAGGTCAGCCGAAAGTCAGAGAAATCAAGATGGGTACGCACGAGGCATCTGAGGCATAGGCGATGCGGCATACATGGCTGTGAGATATCATGAGTTGCATCCACACAAATTTAGAACCTAGACTCACGTTGGCCGTTTGGTGGAATCCCTGGCGGGTACACCATTTGTTGCATGAATGGCGTTGATACATATGCACCAGGTGGTGGTGGAGCCATGCCAGGCATCATGGGCTGAGCAAAATTTGAGAAAGATTCCACACGGGAAACAGGGACATGCACACCTGTCCAGGGTAGTATGGGTAGTAGTAAACACGTTGTTCGCCGCCGTCTTCGTATACAGGGTGTGAGACGGGCGGCGGACCGGGCGGCGCGATGTGGACGGGTTGCTGAGGCGATTGGTGTTGCAGGGGAGGGAACATATGCATGTAGCGCTTGCCACTGTAAGGCCAGATAGCAGCTGCAGCGGAGAGCCATCAGATTGTATCCTCAGCAAGAGGGTGCAGCACGCACTGATTTGGTTCGCCTCCACGACTTTGTTATGCTTGAATGGATTGAAATCATCCTTGATATGAACCGCTCCTTTCTTCATGATCTTGGCGCCAAAGAATGGATTGGGTGTAGGAGGTGACTAAGGGAGCCGAGTTAATTCACAATCGACATTCACAATTCAAATGCTTGATTCACCGATTCAGCAGGCTTAGCCTTCGGCGACGCGGAGGCTGACGTAGAACTCGGAATCGGAGACGTAGGACCCTAATCACGCAGACCAGTTAGTAACATGGGATCCGAAATCCAACAGTCAATATTACAGAAGAGAAAGTAGTTGCCTTTGGATTGGGCCTGAACGACGAGGCGTTCGCATTGAGCCTGTTTGCGGTGGTGGTGGGCGACGTAGGCACGGCAGCGCCGTTCGTTTGGGCCGCCGGGCCAGGCAATGGCGTGGTCGAGCGCTTCGCGCCCTTGAATGGCGGGATGGGCTGTATGTACATATTGACCGCGTTCTTCTTGCCGAGTTCACTGGGCTTCGTAGCAATGGGTTTGACGACAGAGGCGGAGGTACCAGCGACGGGTACCTTTGGGATGGCGGGCGGAGCAGGAGTAGGCTTCGCGGTAGCCGGAACGATCTTGTTAGAGGTGGAAGTCGGCATACGAGACACGCTAGGGGACGTATTAAGAGTAGCGGTGACACCAATGGCACGAGCGGTGGTCGAGGCAGCATCCACCGATGCCTTCTCCCGAATCTGTCGCTGTTTCTCTTCATCCTTGGCAAGAATTGGAACCAAATCATCCGGGATGGGCTTGTTCAACTAGATGGAGCTCGATAATTGAAACCAGTAATAGAAAGAAAACACCACAACACTGACCTTGAACGTCTGGCTGAATTTCAGCAGCTCAGCCTTCCGTTTGTCCATCTCACTCTTAACAAGCGCCTGCTTCTTTTGCGTCAAGCGCTGTCTCTCATTCGTTACAAAGTCACGGAACGCCGGCAATGGATCCGCCGGGGGCTATCATCAACCACAGCAAAGGAGTGATCGTCAGCAACCCATCAATCTCGACCAATCAAACGCCGTAGCACAACAATCCGAATCGAAACAAACAGATGAAGATCGGAAGGGGTTGCATACCTTATTAGAAGCCGATGATGTTGATGGTGCAGGAGAAGGAGACTTGACAGCAAGAGGCGCCGCGTCCTTTGCAGCAACGGGGGTACCGTCAGGGCCATTGACAGATACTTTAGGAACATCTTTTGGAGGAGGGCTCGTTCCCGAGGCTGGTCCAGTGGCCTGTAGTTTGCGAGCACCTGGTGGAACATAAGCGTTCTGCCCTCGGACAACAGCACCAAATCTAGAAGCAATGCCATCAGACAAATGCAGACCTGACACCGGATGGACGTACTTGTCTTCCTCGTTCACACCACTATCGTCAACATTCAAATTCCTTTCCTCTGCTACATGAGGATTGTTTACGGCGCCCTATCAGAAGAATTAGCCCGTATTAAGATAAACCTAAAATACCTCAGACATACGTTCAATATTTCGCTAGCAATGCGCTGAGCCTTGCGCTCCTTCTCTTTATAATCAGCAGCCGTCCGATCCAACTTAGTGGTGTAAACCTCCTCGTCAAAAGTAGTAGTAACGCCGAACATTTGTTCATTAGCCGCGAATTGATCCCAAGATGTGTTAGCGCCCGAGCCCGGGCCAAAGGTGAGTTCATCGCCGAGACCCTCATGATGCATACCCGCTGGAGGTGGGGAGCTAGCAGCAGCAGTAGCGGATGCAATTGGTTGCCATGCTTGGAGTTCCCGTTCACGGACTGACTTGTTCTTGCTGATATCCGCATCTGTTCTGAAAGCTATTCCACAGCAAGTATGGAGATCAGCATCAAGGATTCAGGGTTGTGGGATCAGCTTCCTGTAGAAGAGCAGGAAGCTAATGCAATGTACTCACAGTCACCATTTGGAACTGGCATCTTAGCGTCAGCGGGACCAGACTGCCAAGTGTCGATGTTAGTGGAGGGGATGAAGAATGACTCCTTGAGTGGTGCGCCAGGCTTTGAAATCTCCTTGACGTCCTTGAGGATGATACCACTGGTATCACCCTCACTAGCAGTAGATGAAATGACGCCCTCGTATCGCTGAGCAGTTTTGGTGGTCAGGGTAATAGTTGTGCCCTAAAAATATAACCGTTAGTGAACGAATTTGTGCGGGAACGAGGAGAATGGAAACACACAGTAAGTCCAGAAAGAATATGAAGAGGACGGTCCTGGGTGGGGTCGTGAATGCGAGAGCCATTAGTCTGAGCACCTAGTGGAGGGAAGCCCCCCTGATTAGCTGAAGGAGGGAGACGAGCCGGATTGTTCGTTGGTGATAACGTGGAATTTGGCCTTGTGCCAGTCTGCCAAGCAGGACGACTGAATGGAGGTCAATACATGTATTAGGTTGGTGTAGTGTGATAGGACTTACCGAGGAGGATCTGCCATTCCCTTCCCTCTTGGTTTAGGCTGGCGAGCGGTAGTTGCCATCTGTGAATCCGTTGAAAAAGTAATGAAATAAAGTGAACACAAGTAATGAAATGCAGCAGACAGATAGGCTACGACGAGGACGCGACTAAAAGCCGCTTGCCCACTGTGAGTTAAAACCTAAGCTTAAGCTCTGCTTGTTTTGTTTAGAAAAAGAAAAGTGAAAGAAGAAGAAAGGTACCAGCTGTTGTCTTGAAGCTGGCGCTGTAGGAGAAAAAACAAGCTAACCGAGAGGCTTCAACGTCGGAGACGGCGTCGACGGTGAGTCGTCAGTCAGTTCAAGAGTCAATATCCTTGAAACCCAATACACCCGCGGGAAATATCTAAATCATGTTCCCCGGATACCCTGATCTTGTAAAATTCTACAAAATCTTTTAATCATTTCAATGAACCCTGCCTACACCACAGCTTTCTCTATTTCTTCAATCAACCGTCCATTTCCGTCTCGAAACACACTCATTGCTCCTCGATGATCATCTCTCCCGGCTCAAACACAGCATACCCGGAGTTTGAATATCGCTCTCGGGGTCCTTACCACGAGGAGTTAGCTCTCTTCAAAGCTCTAGAACAACAATCATGCACACAACGCCCTGCACCAGATTCACCAAGATAATACCAGATGGACAGAGTCCGCTCCGGCTCGCCAAGCGGGACTATTTTGATGCATCGCGACGTGATCGCTTCTTCGACATGACATGTCAAATATTTATTCATAATAATAGTGAGCGAGCTCAGAAACATCCATGGAGAGGAGAAATCGCACCGGTTGAGAATAATAAAATCAATTGAACTCGTCACAGCTCACCCAGCGCGGGCTATTTTGTGCGATACTTGGAGGTGTTCAAAAGACGAGGAATACCGAGGGGAATTGAAAAGCGAGAGGGGTCCGCAGCTTGGGCTCTAGGGTGTATGTGACTCCCTGACTGTTATCCCTGACCGAATAGCGTGGGACGGAACCGCAGGTAGAGGCAATCTATCAAAAGGCCGCCAGTGGATTGATTCATTGAAGCTGCTAGTCATCGACCAAACTCGCACCCAAAATTCCGGAGAGATAGCTGCCCTGACATAAAACTCACGTTAAAACGTCCAAGAACCAAACATGCATTGACCTGATGAAGGGATGAGTGAGTACCAAAGTTGCGCCATAAGCGACCGCTTGGAGACAGCCCAAGATAAAGAGACATGCCGTAATGGCACAAGCATATATAGAACTTATATTGCTTATATGACCCTTCGAATTGGCCTCATGGCCTGAGGATGCCCCAGAAGACGCGAAGCTGGTTACGGACGTTCAATTCATGGATCCCGCTAAAGTGGTATGCACGTTGCCTGTATTGAATTGTCGACAAGACAAGAAACTGATGGCTGGGTTTCCAAATGAACACGTAGCCAATCGTTGGTTCTGAAGCGAGAGATACGGCTGGGGGGAGAGTCCCAGTCCCAAAGCAGCGCACTTTTCTACGGCACAAGAAAGAGGTGCCAGCGGAGTACACCGCCGCCATGCCATTTCGCGTATAAACCCAAATTGCAATAAGAAATAGATCATAAGGAGCGCATAGAATGTAGCTTCTAAGGATCACGTGAAGGAAGGCGATGGACGGTGAGACCTCTTGCCTAGGAGATAGGACTTTTGTTCCATCATTTATTTGTGTGCTTCTTAACTTTGAAAAGAACGAGCCCGACCGAGGATACTATTATCCGAAAAATTTTCCAAACTTGTATGTTTTAGCGTGCTAGCCCGTCAGTAGCACGGAATGCGCACATGTACAAGAAATTGTCAAGAACGCGATCTTCTAACAGCGTTTGCGCTCACGTCAAACACGACATGGCGCATAAAACCAACAGGAATGGGATATGTCACTTGTCATTCCGTTTCCGCGTCGTACCCGAAGATATTTGTCGCCGAGGAACATATCGCAGGAGGAAGAGCGGTCCGATGAGATAAGAGATAAACACGCTTGGCCCTTGAACAGAATGGGTAGAACAGATTCCTGTTACCGTTAGGCATACGCCACGACGAGCGGAAAGTTCGAGTAGCGGTTGCCACTGCTCTGTTGCGTTGGTCACGTCTGAAAGATACCTAGTTCATGGACGTTCGTTGCTCACCAGTTACTGATCGGCAGGTCAAGCTGAAGGCAATAGACTTTCTATGTACAATCTCCGCTTGAGCTGTGGAAGAGAATGTACCGGTCGCTGAGTCCTCGGACGTGGATGAATGACATATTCCGGTTCGTCATCAAATACCGAATTTCCATAAGTGCGGAGTGTGGGGACCGTAGAAGTGACTTTTTTCTTGTGTTCAGAAACGGGACGCCCTCTAATGATGGCCTACACGGGCTTTGGCTGCTCCGGTAGGTCATATTTTGTCTAGGTAAAGACCAACGTTTTGGGAAGTCATGGTATGATCATGATTCATTATTGACGCGTCACGAACGGCCAGGTATGCCCGTGGTTTTTCTGACCAGACCGCGTCAGAGGGTCGGTCATAGGTGATATTTTGGGGTCAAGTAACCTTACAGTGTCATGGTGATGATGGGTGGCAGCACGCAAGCATCTGTATCTGCCACGTATACTGCTGCACAAGTCAGCGTCACACGTCAGACGACAATTTGTGTCCTTGCAGTGGAGGCTGGAGCCATGAGTTGGCGACGAAAGATTTTGGGTTTTCGTTCCGGATGAGGGTCTCCAGGGGCAATTGTGATTATCAAACATATCCATTTATTCTTTCCGTTCTCGGCCAAGAAAATTTGAATGAGATCAGCTCTATTCTTGTTGTGTACTATTACAGCGTGCATTCGCAAACCCCATGACCTTGCACATATATGGCTGCTGAACGCTAAATCATACTGGTGACCTCGCGCTAATTCAAGCGAATCCGTTGCAAACTCCCAAGAAGCTCTCCTCGGAAGAAATTATTCAAACTTGCGGAGAATCTGAGAGCCTACTACATATGACGATCGTCGAATTCATAGCCGAACCTAGGCCTCACGCGTCAAACTCGGTCAGATCGTCGATCGATTGACAGCCTGCTACATTGCGTTGCATCCGGCGCTTGATTCCTAGTAAATGCATCTTCTCTCATTTCTGAGTCTGGATAGTCTCCACCTGGAATGGTAGTATTCGCCTCATGGGTTCTCCCTGGGACCCTGGCAATAAAAGGCGCTTTGTCGTGTTCCTCCTTTTTTCTAACCTCAGGCTTCGTTCGCTCTCTCACAGCTACAGCCATGTCACACTCCAAAGTTTACCTGAGTGACATTGCCCCAAGGCCTCGCTGGATGACCTCTTGGGAGAGGCTCAAACACAGGGAGGCACACTGGCTCGTGGAAATCGTTGCAGAAATGGTATCTCCTACCTTCTGTCTTTCATGGCATCCTCTGGCTAACATGCTTCATGTAGATGGGGGTGTTTCTTTACGTCTATGCGGGTCTGTTCGTTTGACTAGCACTCGGCTCCCCCACTCACGATCCCCGTTTGGTATGCAGGTCTGGGAGCCACTGCTGCGTTTATTGTAGGATCTCTCGGAGGGAATAGTGGATTAGGATGCAAGTCTCTACCTTTTCATTCAACAATTTGTTTACGACGACCCCACAGCATTATATACGATCGGTTTCGCCTACTCCATGGGCGTCGTATTTGCCATCTCACTTTGTGCTGCGACCTCAGGAGGTCACTTCAACCCAGCCGTCACAATCGCATCGGTTATCTTCCGAGACTTTCCCATACACAAAGCAACCAGGTTCGTGATAATCACCGTGCCCTTCAACATCGCTGATGTATTCCTTAGATATATCATAGCACAGATTCTGGCAGGTTACATCACCTGCTTGATCGTCTATGTCCAATGGAAAGATTTGCTCCTGGTACGTAGAATACCGAAATATGCTCAATATTTCGCGATCTTACTTCTCCAAAGGCTGCAGAGAAGGTCCTGGTTGAAAAAGGCTTGTACCACAGCATGATGTTCTCCAGCGCTGGGCCAGCCGGTGTGTTCGGTCTATATGTCACCCCTGGGACGAACCTGGCCCGCGTGTTTATGAATGAATTTGTCACTGTGAATATATTTATTCATATCCACTTCTGAGCCGAGTACGTATCTTATCTTACTATCGTTTCGTAGGACTTCCTCATCGGCCTTGTCATTTGGGCCTCCCTGGACCCCACGAATCAGATGATCCCGCCAGCAGCTGCACCTTGGCTCGTCGGGATGGCATAGTAGGCATCATGATTATGTCCTCTGTCAATATTAACGCTCTCCTCAGTGCCGTTGCAGTCTGGGGGTACTCGCCTACCGCAAGTAAGTCCCGCACCACATGTTCTTATTTTTTCTTGATCTGACTTTCCGGTTCAGTCGCCGCCAACACCGCCCGTGACGTCGGTGGACGCCTCATGGCCATGACCATCTGGGGGAACAAAGCCTCAGGAGGGAGATATGCAGCTATCGCCGCGCTGACGAACATCCCAGCTACGATTCTCGCCGCTCTGGTGTATGAGCTGTTCTTAGGATCCGCAACGCGGAGTGGGTATTTTCTCTTCACATAAGACGCAGTGCTGATGGCCTGTCCTCTTGCAGCGCTTACACCGCACCACATTCATTTCCTCCGCGCTCACAAGCAGTACTACGAGGACAACAAACTCGCACCATACGGGTACCTCGAGGGACTTAACCCACGACGCGGCGACCGAGCGGAATCATTCGAATTAGACATGGGGGGGAAAGCGCGAGAGATCCGGATCGACAATATGTCTGGAGACCGTGCTTAGAATCGATGGGCAACGAGGCTCTCGAGGGAACACCGCTTGTACGTACTAAGTTATAAGATGTATACGATGATACTTTTGTATGACCAATAATCAGTTTCGAAGTCTTGTAAAGTTAGTGTGTTTGACATACATTGCCCAATCCATGATGTTCGCCGTGCAAGGTCTTGGGGGCCCGAGGGGTTCAGATGCAGCTGCAACACGCAGTGCACGATCAAGCATTCAATGAAACTGCCGAAACCTGCGCCTAGCAAGTTCGTGCCCATGCGTACTCATCAAGTTGCTCTGTTGTTACGCCTATCAAATTTATTGAGCCACGTGACAGTGGGTGTTCTTGAAGCTATTGACGATGCACCGTGGTGAACGGCGGCAGGAGAACTCCAATTGCAAGTACCAGTATACTAGATACCATAACAAATACTAATAAAGTTAGCCGATTCTACAAATGGCTTGGTTCACCTCTGTGTACCAGTGTGGCTGAGTGCAAGATGGAAAACAGGGTCTCAAAAAAAGGAGGAATCCCGAAGAATTTACAGCTTCGAACTCATAGAGGGCTCATCTGAAACTTTAACAACTCTGTATCGCCATATCAGCCTTCTAAGCATATAATGAGAAAAAGACCGAGGATACGCACAATTTTCCTACATTCGCCCCAGAGAAGAGCATAGGCAGCGCACTCGGAGCATTCTGGAGACCTTCGACGATGTGGAACTTGCTTTTAATCGATCCATCAGCAAGTCCAGCTGCTATCTTCTTGACAGCCACCGGATACTGGTCGGTATAATCGAAACTATGAAGAAAGTCAGTAATGTGGTAAGATATGGTCCTCACTCGCACATACACGATGAAACCTTGCATCTTGGCACGTTGTGCTATGAGCGTCAGATACCCCTTAAGACCTTTGGGTTGTGGATCGTCTAGCACACGAGTGATGAGCTCTCAAACCTATAGGTTTCATGAAAACACTCACTGTAAGCGGATATACCCCCTGCATTTGCACGTCAATACAAGTCCTTGCAGCTGTAGAAATGATGTCACAGACCACACAAAACAATCCTCGCATGTTGATTCAGCCTCGAGAGTGCTAATTCAAGTATGTCGCCTCCAACGTTGTCAAAGTACACGTCCAAATACCCAACAACCTTCGCAAAATCCTCACGGAAAGTAGGGCTCTTGTAGTTGAGCGCTTTATCTACGCCCAAGTCGCTCTCAAGCCAGGCACATTTGTCTGATGTACCTGCGATGCCAATCACACGTGCGCCGACCTGCTTTCCGAGCTGGCAGACGAGGGCACCGACTGCACCAGCAGCACCAGATACGACCAGTGTTTCACCGGCTTTCAGCTGGCCGACGTCGTGAAGGCCCTGTAAACTTCATCAGTACGCTGTGACACAGCGGCAGGAGCGGAACGGACAAAGTATGCAGTCATGCCTGTTGGCGGACGTGAGATTTGCTAGCACATATGTAAGGTGAAAAGTCAGACCTGTCATGCCCAGAGTGTTCAAAAAGTCCAAGGGCGTCGTTCCCGGAGGTGGTCTGTGATTCGTGGTATAAGGACATAATACCGATGCAGAAAGAAGTCCTACGAGATCTTCTCCATTGACTTGTCATCCGCAACTGCATACTCTGTCCATCCTGCGCGTAACATAAGGACGAGGCTGGGAGAAAAGAACCGTTCGCGTAGACGCACCAAACCCTCCTTGGACCAGGTCTCCCTTCTGAAACTTGCTCCCCTCGCCCACGCTCACTACGACACCGAGCCCGCCCGAACGCATCACCTCCCCAATTTTCACTGGAGGGACGTAACTTCGCACGTCTCTGAGCCACCCACGCATGGCAGGGTCCAGTGAAATGTACGTGACTTGGACTAGAGCTTGACTCTTGCCGACATGGAGTTCATCGAACGCCTTCGTCTTGGACTCGAACGTATCTGGGAGAATGTCTGCGACAGGGCGTTCGCGAAGGACGATCTGCTTGAAGGTATTGGGAGACATGGTGAACTGTTAATCGTGTCATTGGAAGTTATGTATCAACTCGTCCTTATAAATCAGCACATCAGCACATGCGAATCATGTCCGGGTGCCGGCTCGCTCAAGAATCACGATATTCTACAAAATTCCGACCGCGCGGGGTATATGTCATCTCGCCGCTACACATATATAATTTCCAAGTACGATGTAATGTTGCATACCACATAAATTAGTAACACATTATGTCCATGTGAATGATTGATTGATCGCGAGAGGGTAACCTGCTGTAGCGTACGTAGTACCTGAACGTTTGAACTATCAGACAGCTCGGTAATTACAGTCCTTACTTATAGTGTCATGAGCGGTGAACCTTTGGGGCAGGAAGAAGACCTAATAGTCCAAATGTGAGTGCATACAAGCCTGACGCTGAAATACAAAACCGAGATCACGTATATCATCGGACAGATTATTGTTCATGAACTTACCCCCTACTACTCCTTCTAGGTATCCCAAATTAGACCACCTCCCAAGGGTAAAGGACAGAAGTGACCAGCCGACCAAGATCGCGGTGGTCAAGATTGGAATGACAGAAGAGAGTATTCCAGAGTCTCGCCAAGACTGGTACTGAGATATTGTCAGTTATGCTACTACAATATTGAAAATAACTGACATCTGGTTCGAGGCCATGTATCCACGGTACCAGAAGGACGTAAAGGAAAAGTATGATTACAAGTCCTTCAAAGCCTATGGAAGTAAAGGCAAACAGTCTGATCAACCGTAAATATTTATTGAGAAATTTGTCGATTGTGGCCCACCTTCCCCACTGTCCTTTTACACCTTGTCTAGTTAACAACTCCAGAAAGACGCGATGGGTGTTGAATGCATACGTGATTGCAGCTCCGGGGATGATAAATTTGAGCTGACGAACGGTATGCTTGGAAATCATTCTCCCGATAGATTTTATGGTCATTTTGAAAGAGTATGATGTGCGACCGGAGCAATAATGACACGATGCCTACATTGCGTATTCGGATTCAGCGGGTTTCGGAAGCTGTCGACTTATTACGAGCATGCCGCCGCAGCTTTCCAAACACTGACTTGTTAGTTGCACAAGCAACTAGCTAGTGAACGTTTGGCTTTGATCGATGCTGATGGTCCCTGAGAAAGATCATGATGACCACTTAGGACGGTACTACGGTATATTGTCACCGAAGTCGGGTGTTTGTCTAAACGCGACATGAAGGTGCCGGTGACCGATGACCGGTGACCATCTAGGCTTGCTTACTAGCGGCCGTGGTACCAAAGAGAGGTCTGATAAAGACTTCAAACGATGTGCTCAGAGAGACACAGCCGTGATTCTCCTGCCACAACTTCTCGCCGTCTCTGGATTCAAGAAAGATGACACAATTGTCAGGGCTTTATATTAGCATTCAACTCTCAAGTTGGACCTGACATTCGATCTACCGAGAAGTAGTTGTAATGGGTCTGGACTCTGCCTCCAACTGCCTGTAAGTGCTCTCGGACTCTTTTATCCGTGGCCGAGACCACCGGTGAGCGGTCGCGAGGGACTTTGAGACACCGGCCACAGCAAGTTACTTGTTTTTCTGCTTCTGGCGTACCCTATCCCATGCACTTACCACAAAATAATAGGTTCATTCCTTATTGCTGTACAAATCTGCACCGATCTCCGCCACTTTTATTTGAATGCCGATCCATGCTTACATGCTTCATCTGAGAATATCGGTGGCTCACCGGTTCACTGATACGGTGACCCGCCCGCCTGTCGTAATCGCGAATGGTCATTGGCTCCTGTGCTCATGCCTTTCACTATAGGCTTTGCAGCTCGTCAGTACTCAGTTCTTGAGGTGCTATTTTAGCGTTGCCCAGGCTGACCTATTCCGAAATAGCGCATTGTACTTAGATGCGGCGGTACAGGTACTGATTTAGCCCGCTAAAGTCATATCTTATGCTCGCTGTTCTGTACAGCATTGGTACAGCAAGCGTGTACTGGGGACGGATGTAAACGAAGGCATATTCGTCTCGATATCTGTCCCTGGCCTGGACCATCATGCATCCTGCCCTGAGGGTCTAGACTCATTGAGCGTTTATGTTCAATCGGCAAACGCAGCTTCTTCAGGGGTGCAATGGGCAGTAACAAAACTTGTTTACTATATTTCTCCTTTTGCTCCTGTAGCACTTTAAATTTCTGGGATATTAATCACGGTCTAGTTCTAGATCCAGGGTGCGAATGGTCTAGCCCTTGCAATCATGCACGTGGTGTACTTATCCATTCAATTCTATCTAACGTTTTGTTAGCGGGGTCACAAATCCAAGACTCTGCGAATGTATATCAACGAGGACATAACTACCTATGGGTTTACTATGGGGGTTGCAATACGTTCCCTCTGCAGGAGTGATTGGCCCCGCGCTTCTGCAAGCTATGGAGACACTGCGGATCACCGTCTGGACGTGAAAGCTTATCCCGTCTGTATAAAAGTGCTGCAGATTTATGATTCACTCATACATTTCTTTATCCTCTGCACGACGATGGACAAAACTATTGCATCATCTCAGACCACGATGCATTCTACTCCCCAACTTGTATCTCCTGCCCTTGCTAGAGACTTACAAGACTGCAGGAAGACTTATCTGAATATAGTGAGTGTTCACATTGCTGAAAACCGCAGTCCCTTACTCGACCTCTTTTTCACAGCTCATGGCATTTCTAGCGTTAGTTCAGTCCTAATCGGATTATCCCTGACATTCCGATCAACATTCTGCTATTTTGTAGCCTTCAGTCGATATCAGGATCTGAAAATCTTTTGGTGGCTACCCTCACGCTGATACTATATACTATCAGCCTGCACATCACTGCTAGCGTGCCGGGTGTTTCTCACGTAAGGCGTTTCAAGTCATTCGTTCACGCACAAGCACCTAAAACCACGGCAGCTTGGAGCAGTAATTTTTGGAATTTTGCACGCAATTCCAGCGGTTGGAATTCTCGCCGTAACGTCAGTGGAGTTGGCGTTTGCGGTAAAATCACCAGCAGTGGCTGTTTCTATCATCATATCTTGTTTCCTCCCTACGATGATTGTGATTTCCCAGTACCTCCGTATGCGGTACTACATGAAGGCAATGATAGATCAGCTCCCGATGACCGTCCCTGAGGACCTAGCATTAGAGCTGGCATGATTGGAGTTCACTGATAGTCCTTCCCCACTGCCTGTTCTCAATTGTCCCCTCCTTACTGGGAGAGTCATAGCGAAGCAATAGTGATTTATAATACATGGTCATGTAAATAGTACACCTAACAAAACACAATTACGTAGCATAACTTATGCATTATCTTCCTCTGGTACGCCAATTGCTTACATGTCCCACTCATCCCACAGACCTTCCACTGGCGTGGGTGTCATCGGTGTCTGCGTGGAGTTGAAATCTGCAGTTCGAACTAGTTCTATTATCTTGTCGCTGACGCCATCTTTGTCGTCCTTGGTCCCACGCATCGCCACGAATAATGGATCATCGGCCGAGTGAGATTTCAGGTTCGTGTGCACCAATAAACGAATGTCGTTCCCTTCAATGACTTGATCAAGTCTACCGGTAGAAATGCTCCGAATTTCAATGAACTCAGAGGAGAACAGCATCACATGAGACCCGCGATGGGCAAATGACGTAGCTTTCGTCTCCCAGAGAATGAATCCGCATTTCCGATGGGGAACGCCCCGCTTCGTTATGTAGCATCCAAGAGCTATAGTGGAGGTACGATGGATTATGGACGTGATTTGAATCGAGAAGACTTACTGTCATAAACGACCAATATTTCGCTGGTTTCAGTCCGAATTAAGCCGAGGGGCTTAGCATCCTCGCAGCGAGTCTTCAGGTCGGCCATGTCTGTATCGGAGGTTGCTCCGCTGAAGTCCGGGACGACCGGGATCATCTGCCTGGTTGCGCTGCAATACTACATTAGTAAAGTACAGAGGGCGGAGGATGAGCAACATACTCAGTCGGATCGGCGATGACGATGCCCTTCTCTGTACTTATAGCGATCGTCTTGGCTAGCGCCATGACGGAGTAGGCATCCTTTGGTACATACAATGGCTGGTTCACAGGATGAGTATATAAAAAGGAAATGGTCACATCCACTCACTTCGCCAAACGGTCTAAACGATGATATGGTACCCTGAGATCCTCGTGATGGAGTTCGTCGAAGCTCAGAAAGGTTGCAGGCTTCCAAAGCATGCACTGTGATTTGAAAGAATGATTTAAGAGCATAAATAACTGGTGAGAGGTGTGAGTCAACGAGTTGTACGAATTAGGTCAAAGCTTACCTATCATTCGTTGTTTTATTCGTCCTACAGTACAAAATAGGACGGTCCCATCTTCCCCTGCAATCTTCTCCATTGAAGCATCTAAGCTACTCGCAGGGGCCTGGTACATTGCGACTCTAGCGAGAATGTCCAAGGAATAGGAGAGCAAATAGCTCTCATGATGTACGATGAACTTATTGAATTCCTGTAAAACTATGATAGAGGAAGGATTGCCATACGACAATATCTTGCGGAAGCCTGAAGGTGAACATCAGTGATGGAGCAAGTTAGTGTGTGAATACTTCATACTGATATCGCCTCTTAAACCAACATAAATTCCAGTGGCGCAGCCGACCGCCATGAGCCTCTTGCCGCCGGCAGCAGCTAGATAGACCATCAATCATAAGCGACATTAGACGGGGAAGCAGCAATATGATGCGTACTAAAGGACACAGCGTTGGCAACCCTCCCTGACGCTTTAGATCCAAAGCCGCGGGGAGTGTAAGCTCCTGGTGACCGAAAGGAGCCATCATCAACGAGTTGCGGTGCAAACCACTAATCAGTTGAATAAAAGCGCACCAACATGCAGATACGGATGTACACACCTTGTTTGCATCTCGGCGCACGTCGTCTATTCCCTTGGTCTCAACAAGAGCGTTGCGCCACTTCTCTCTCATAGACTCGGTCGGCGCGTACAAAGTATACCGCCGCTCCAATTTATCTGCGGAGTGATAAATCGTGAACGGATAGATGGGTTTGTATTGTGCGCGCAAGCTGTCCAAGATCCCTCCTTCTTCAGACCGTTCCCTCCTACTTTCTGGCTGTCCTTCGAAGCTTCCTAGTTTGAGATATTCTAAGGGTATAGGCTGTAAAAATGAGTTTCAATGAAATCAGTGAAAAAAAAAGTCTTTACTCCGGACGAAACATAGCGCTTGAGGATTCCTCCCGTTCTTCTCTCCTCTTTAGTGAGCAACACTGCGATAAATCAGTGACCCCAAGTCAAGCAAGAGACAAATATATAACTTACGATAGTTGTCGAGTAAGACGACGAACAGATCAGTCCACGGGTGCCAATCCATCTCGGACTTGGACCTTCGAGCTACAGGGCCAGAGTACACCAGTGACCGATTGTCGTTATACCAATCCAAATCCTGCACTTTATCAGCCGAAGAACGAAGTGACGTCCACGGAACGCACTATTATTTGTCCCTTGGGCATTGTCAAACTTTCACAGACATTCCAATATTTTACTCTGTTCTCTGCGGCTGCAATACCAGGTTGTGTGCTCTTCAGGAAGTCGCTCAAAATGTTTAGGAGAAGTGGCAGATCTTCAAGATCCGGATGGCCTGGTTCTGTAATCTTCTGAATGTGCTCAAGGATCAAATGAAGGCGTGGGAGGCGAGTCACTGGTCTGGAAAGGAAGGTGATCATGTCGCGCTTGCGCATCCGAGGATCTTGAGAACATTTTTGTATGAACACTTGATAGTTTTTATTGCGACTGAGTTCAGTGCGATGCCGCTCTTCTGCGATTGGGTAGTGTTTGATGTAGGACTCATAATCCGCTTGGAACTGAAAGCAGGCTAAAAGGTGTTGAATGTGAGCTGTTAAGTGTTTTTTTTGTCAACTCACTTTCAAGTACAATGTCGGTCACACTCTGTACCAGCGGATGCTGATCCAATTGGCGTTCAAAGAGTGCAGCCAGCATACGCTCATGGTGCACAAAGATCTGACCCAAATTCCAAAACACTTCCTGAACAAAGGGACGTAACCTGTCGGGAGCAATGACAGGGGGTTTGGCGAACTGTAAAGGCTCAATGAAAACCTGCAGCAAAAGATTAGCTGGATCTGATTGTATCATGATAGCGGTGGATGCCACCTCTGTGACAAGTCTAAGATCTTCCACATAGTCCCTTTCCGACTTGAACAGCTCGAACAGCACTGATTGTCGTTCTACTTCTTTTTTGCCAAGTGCTTCCTGGGCTTCAGGAGGAACTAGCCGGTGCCATTCTTCATCCTTCTCTGCTAATTGATGACCGGCTTGGAATAGTCTTAATCCCTCCTCAGAATATAGGCTGTGTCTTTTCAATATCTATCGCATTAAACAAACCACCATGATACTCACGAAACATTGGACAGTTCTTGAGTCAGTTGGTTTACTGGTGCTTCCCACTGAAGAGGTCATCAGAATACGTCATCGTCGACTTTACATTTTATACACGTACATCTTCCTCTGAAGGGTAATGCATAGATGAAGCAGAGTCGGGTGTTATTGGAGTGAAGGGCCGCGTACTATGGTCTCCACTCGGTGGTAGAGAACCATGGCCGTCATCGGACTTGCTGGGACGGTGGTGTGGTGAATACGGGTGAAGTGTCGTTCGTTGAGAAGCAAATCGATGTATCTCCGGTTCAGGAAAGGAGATGGTGGGTGGTAAGGGCTCGTATGCACTCCGAGTACGAGGGCGTGATCGAAGTTCACCTGGTCTGCCATTCGGATGTCGGGTTGTAGGTGTTTGGTCCCATGGATTCAAGAGGTCCCCAGATGGCGCATGATATTCAAATTCGTCTGGGTATGCCTGCAGTGGGCTAGGGTTGGGTAGAGGACTCGCTCCAGGGGGGATCGTAACATATGGATAGTGTCGCTGATTATGCATAATAAATGTAATCACCGAACAAGTTAAGTGGTTGATTGAGTTGCAACAAGATACAGGAGATTAATGACTGGCTATAGACAAATCAAAAGGTCAAATTCGAAGATAATACTAACAGTAAGTCTTACCCTAGTACCGCACAGGGCCGCCAAGCAAGGGTTACATATGCGAATGAAATCACGTCACGTGATGAATCATTTAGTCATTGTGCTCCGGGGCCGGCTGGGCAGCTTTTCCGGCGCGAACGTTAGTACCATAAGCAACACTGCATGACTATGAGTTCCGTGATAGGAGTGACCATAGGATCTTGAGCTGAAAAGAAACAATCTCATTCTTGGTCGCCGTCATCATCAAACTAGTTCATCTTCCGGCCTACAGATGAATGTACCAATACGACCAGTCGTTATTCAATCATAGATCAATATTCAATCTTCATACATAATGTACACGTCATACAGCATACCATAGAGTGAATGAAATCAGCGACATAACATGCTTTCAATAGTAGTGAGCATGTGTCAACCACCCGCCAGTGCACTTCTTTGAACGACCCCCCCGACAATTCTTCGCCTTATTACAACCCCTCCTCGACCCCCTCCCCGAGCGCCTCTGTGTGCCACGCATCTTAGACACCTCCCATTTCTCTCTCGACTCAGCCCAGATCTGCTCCATGTCCTCCGTGATCTCCTTGGCTTTCCCTCTCGCACGTGAAGCACGGTTCATTAGAGCTTCCCCAGCTTCATGGAGCCATTTCGCCCCGTTATCCTTGAGCTCCTTTGCACGACGCTGTGCATGCTCATTACGGGCGTTAAAAGCATCCATGATTGCCTCAAATTCTGGAGCTCTTTGCTCAAACTGCACTGTCGAATACTGGATAAGCGCATTAGTTTGAGCAATCATGACGTGAGCTTGTCGGGAAATGGCTTGGACGAGGGAATCGAGAGCGTCAATGATATCTTGCATGTCAGCATTGACAGCAGCTAGGACAGCAGGCGCATGCGTGTCCACAAATTTGGGCAGATAGTCCTGCAAGAAACTCAGGCCAAGAGTAGATGACGTGAGTGCGGACGAAGACGGAGTTGGCACTGCCTCTGCCACATGGGCCTTTGAGGATGTCATACTAGGAACGACAGATAGTGAATTGGTGCTTCCTTCCAGAGACATGAGGGAAGAAGTCGGACGAAGGATGACATCCTTGGAAAGCTTTAGCTTCTCCGAAAAGGAAGATGTGATCCGGAACCCAGATGTAGATGTCTCCTGGAAGATAGAAACCGATGTGGGGTCTGGGTTGAATACTGACATGGCGAAGTCTTTCAGAGAAGAGTGGATCGACATTGCTGTCGACTCGGTCTTTGCTGGAATGGATTCGTGCGAGCGATTGATGACAGGGTAGAGGAGTGCCCAAAGGAATGGCGTTGAAGCGGCCGATGCCATGGCAGTGGTGACAGGGGTAGGGGTAACTGCAGGTGCAGTACCGCGGAATGTGGATCCTACCATAACGCCAAGCACAAGCGACACCATAGTAAGTCTTGAATTCAATTTTGAGTTACATCAGTGGGTCAATGACAGCAAGACTTACATTGTGAAAGTATGCGGCGAATTGGTTGAGAGCTTGACCGACTTCTTCTTACCACGAAGGAAGATGCGATCGAAAGCACGATGTGCTCGATATGGAGGAAGACTTTCAATCACATCAGCATTCACAACGCATGAAGCAGTATCGCTAAGTCGAAGGACCCTGTCACTGGGGACATTAAAGAGGTCCCACGCCTCCTGCGCGGAATTGCGAATTGCATCCTCAGACTGGAGACTGTCTATGACGCAAGGAGCAGGGACAAGTACAGGAAGATACGCTGCATGCTCTGGAAGCTGCAGAGATGAAAATGGAAGGAAAACGATAGCCAAACTTGGGTGACCTGTGGAAAAATCGGCTAATGGCTGCAGGGCGTTGCAATTAATCTTCCGGTGAAGAAGTGAATCAAACCTACGTCTTCCCTGCCACCTTGAGTCCGGTCGATCACTGTAATGATGCGAGGGTAAAACAAGCTCCTGTCTGTTCTACCATCGATGCGGAGTTGTCGAACAGGACCGTCCATCTCCTCGAGAGGTGTGGTAATGGTGAGACGAGCACCACGAACAGCCTTCTCGAGAAGTGTGGACACAAACGACCATTTATGCGGATAATGAAACCCATAAAGTGTAATATTTAGGTCAGAGTCGAGTAAGGCGGATACTGCATCATCAATGGTTATGGGGATTGAAGAGCTCCCGGGCGCGTGAGACAGGTCCGGTCCTCCCGGGTCCGTGATATGCACGGTGACATCGGGATCCGGGCCAGAGAACATGGCATCAGAGGAAGGCGATGATATGTTCTCGGATGAAGTGCTGGAGAGCTCTTCATGGGAACTGAAAATGGGATCCGGGAAGGATAGACGCAAATCGCGCGACGACGTAATCACAGTGGATGCGTGAACCGAGCTTGAGCGAGAGGAGCTCAGAGTACTGATCATACTCTGATCTAGGCCCTCTTTGACACGCTGCTCTTCTGTAACATCACCGACATCATCATCAGTCGGAGTAGTAAAGAAGGCGAGTGGAGAGCCGGATAGGCGGACGGTATCGGGTACTAGCCCCTCGTCGGCACTGTCTTCAATTAAGCCTTCCCAGGCATCGACGTCTCCGTCTCTGGAGCTTCCATAGCTAAATGATGAACGTCTTGACCGCGAACGTGAAGATGTGCGTCCTTGATCTGTCCCCCTGGACGAATAGATCGAGTCACTATCAGACTCACGGCCACTGGCAACATCGAGCCACTCAGAGTCAGATAGGCTTTCTACTTCAGAAAGTGTTGAATTGTCAGTGGGTTCATGTATATGGGCAGGTGAGTGCTTGGGTTGTAAAGGATCCATGGTGATCGTTCAATTGAAAGGGGTGGAGGGCTTTTTATTGCCGCTTGCACGCTTGATTGACTCAATTAGGGTGAAGTAGGCAGGCCACTCTCACGCAGCATGCTGCGGTCTTTGAATTACCAAGTGGTCTTACATACATATCCATGGGGCTATGCAGCATCGAAAATCCGAAAATCCTATCTTTGGTACTGCTTGAAGGCAGAAAGCTTCGAGCATCCCATCACAATCCTGCTGATAACTGTCATGGACGTACTGATTGCGATTTTTTCATGTCTGACTAGACGTAGAGAACATCATTATTCTGTCTTTGGCTCACGGTGAGTCATACGCCATGTTCCAGTAGCCCCACGTTGAACATGCATGGCCAAACACGTAGACGTGTCGTGGTCTGCAGCATTCTATAGGTCCCGCAGACTTGCTGTTGAACTAGGGGATTGCCGTTGTGCAATCGTGGGCGCCCTAGTCTCCCCTAGTCATAGACGAAGGGAGACCTTTCTCATAAAGTGGATGCCCTCGATTTTGGAAATACTCCCAGGCTGAAATGGCTGCTAATTTTTCAAGGCGACCTAGTAAGCTCGCGGCCGGCGGTCGTGAGCCATCATTTTAGTCATGCTGCGATCACCTTTCAATAAAAATTCCGTCGTTCCATCGAATTCTATCCTACTTCTAGGGATAGAATCACAATTACACTTGGCTCGAGCATTGATGGTTACGAGTAAGTTTCGTGCTCACCCCTATGCCACCTTATATTAAAGCAGTGTAGGAGTGAGCTATGGTGGATGTTTGGTTACACTTTGACTTTGCCGCTAAGCCGCACGAATTTTCAAAGTCTGATCAGTGTTTGGTTTGGGTATTGCCATCTACTTCGTTTTGAATTTATGTGATGTATACGGTACTGTTATTGGCAAAAAACCAGTGATTGTGCCTGGTCCGTCACATGAAGGGAGAGTTGCCAATCAGTAAACTACAATATTCTGTACCTGTAAGAGCTGTACCGTGTCACATGGTCACAGTTTGGTTCCTCCCAGTGCCACACTCATTGGAAGGTCTTAGCATTCCCACTTATTCAAATTCAGAGAACTGGCAAAAAGGCCACTCATATCCTGTTTCTTGACTTTTTCTTATTGTTTACTCATTTTGGCAACTTGTGAGGGATGAATAATGGTAGTATTAGCACTCAACCAGAAAAATAAATCTAACAAGTGAAAAATGCTTGGGTACTTGTACTAAAAGTTTAAACACTTGTACATACACTTGTATTTCCCTAACTAGTACTAAAGTACAAAATTTAGGTATAGATTACTCATTGATTGCCTGGAGGATGTGCATCAATACTGCCTGGCTTATTTTTCAGTAATTTTTCTTGCATCATACCAGCTTTCACATCAGTTTCTCCACTTTCCATTGCTTTTTAGGACTTTTGCATCCCACTTGCATGTTCACCTAGTAATCTTCCTTCCACTACACATTTTTACACATTTTTAGCGTTATAGTATCTCCATGTTCGAGTCGAATGGTAAACTGATTCAAACCCCTGTACAGATGACGAGAAGCTCGTCTAACGTAAGCCACGTGATACAATGAAGGCATAAATTTACACTGCCACTGCAATCGTGATCAGCTACTAGTAGAGTCACCACACCAGTGACCAGCATTGACACGGCTCACGACGTTTGTTTTTGACAACTTTTCACGAACCCTACTCATTTTTCAAAATCTTCGGCTTTTATCAAATCTCCTCGTGTTCCAAACCAACTGACCGCGAGCATCCGGGGACGTGCCGTGTTCGGTAGACGATTCAGCTACAGCAATGGAAGAAGAAATTCCCCATTATGTGGAGGCAATTTGCATTGCGTCTGAACCCTCGCAAAGTCATCTCCACCAGCAGGCCTTTGAGTACCTATCCAACCTCCGCCAAAATGCGAACGAAACGTGGCGACTGGCCTTAACGGCGTTCACGGGCATGACTTCGGAGGGTAATAAATACCCCGAATCAGTCAGGTTCTATTCTTTACGCTTGCTAGATGAGTTCTTTGACAATCGGTAAGTGATTTTGGTTTCATTTGCAGGTTGAGAATATTAAACATGACAACCCGCCTTTATTTTCATATATAATGAAGTTGGAATGACTCTGATTTATTGCTTATCTTACAGGTTCGAACCTCTTGATGAAGACTCATTTCGTACTCTTCAACAATCTCTGATATCTTATGTACAATCTGAATATGTTTATGGCTCGGCTGAATCTAATGCATCATGTATGAGCTCGTCATACATCGATCCTTTCAGAAACATTCACCATGACTTACAGATCTTCGCAACAAGTTCTCGCATACACTCACATTATTCTTCCTATGCACATACGTCGAACAGTGGCCAACATTCTTCACCGATCTTTTCTCTCTTATTCGTCTCCCCGAGTCTCCCTCCCAGCCACAATTCAATCGCCATGTCTCGCTTCTCCTTTTCCACCTCATATCGGAGATCTCTGGTGAAGTTGCAGATCAAACAATCAAGTCTGCGAGGACATTCAACCCTATTCGGCATACGCGAGACTCTCGCGTCAGAGATGCTGTTCGAGAGCGAGATGCGCCGTTGATCAATGAAGCGGTATTGACGATTATTGTTGATGGGACGGAACGGTTGGCGTTACTCAGAAAAACGACAACATCTTCGCCCGAGCTTTCCGAGGCTCTAGAGATAGTCGATTGGGGCATTAGGACGTTTGGTTCGTACGCGGGTATGTGATCAGTCGTGACCATCAGACTTTGTGCTCACGATAGTCAAAGGGTGGATTGATATCAATTTGACCATCACACCCATAACTATACCTCTCTTGTTTTCACTGCTCCCTGACCCTAATCTGGCTATTCGCCTTGCAACATCAACGGCCTTGCTGCGCATTATAGCAAAGGGTCTCAAGGAACCAGAAGACAAGTTGCAGCTCGTCAAGGTATTAGCCCTCGGTCAAGTGATCGACGCGCTCGAATCAAAAACAAGTGCAGAACAAGTTGCGCGAGGATCCAACGAAGATGAAGGGGAAGAGTCTTACCGGGAGGCCCTCGGCCGCCTGCTGAATGTCTTGGGCCTTGAGCTGTCAAAGCTGACCGAAGTGGTGGGTTTGATCCGGAGCTTTTGGCACTTCGGCCGGCTAATGATTTCGCATAGGAATCTGAAAAACCTGAGGTTGCGGCAGATGCTACGCGTCTGTTGGAGCAGATTCTACCCGTCATGTTGCGATTTATGTCAGATAAATATGATGACACGTGCTCGACAGTATTTCCCTTGCTGCAGACCATCCTTGCAAGTGTGAGTCCATATTTACTATAACAAACCCTGCTGCAAGACTGATCATTATTTCAGTACAAGCGCTCCCGAAAGGTATCCACGGATCCGCTTGAAGAATCGAAACGATCATTCCTCGTGTCTTTGCTCCAAGTCATTATGCAGAAGATGAAGTGGGATGACGAAGAAGATCCTAGCGACTTGGACGACGACGATTTTAGTGCATTTGAAACCCTTCGCAAGGTTGCTTTGATGTCACTTGCCGCTTCTAGCCCGTTGACTTTCTTCCAGGATCTCAAATTGTCGATGGATGCCGTGTTCACAATTGACCAAGATCTTGTCACTAATGCGGCCAGAACAATGTCCTTGCAGACCTTGTCCGCCTATCGCAGCGGGATGTCGCTTAATTGGAATGACGCTGAACTGGCAGTTTATCTCGTGTACATCTTCGGCGAGATCGTGAAAAGTACGGGATAATTTACTGTGACTACTCAAGCCTCATCTCACAACTCAATTTTACAGCTGGAGGGAAGGGCCGCGCGGCCTTTTGCGTCGCTCCTCTCGTGCCGAAAGAGAAACGCCGCGAAGTCGATTATTCTGAATATCCGTTGACCCCTCATGGGGAGATGTTACTGGCTCTGGTACAGAGTGGTATATCTGCATTCCCTCACCGCTTAGTTGCCATGCAGTTCTTTGAAACCGTGGCCCGTTATGGAGATTTCTTTAAGATTCGCAAAGAGTGCATTATGCCGACACTCGAGGCCATTGTTGATACTCGGTAGGCACGAAGCGACATGCGACGGTGTTACATTACTGATATACATGGTTCAGGGGACTCCACAATCCAGACAGCACAGTTCGATCGCGGACATATTATCTTTTCCACCGGTTCATCAAAGAAAGCAGAAACGACATTTCCGAGGAACTTGCAGTCAACCTCGTGCAGGGCATCAGGGATCTGCTGACTATTCAAGTAGACCTACCAACCCTTGATAGTCCCGATGACGATCTCTTAGCGGAGGCGATCAAAAATCCTGGATTATTCGACTCGCAGCTCTATCTGTTTGAGACTTTGGGCACACTCATATCCTTGGTGTCGAAATCTCCTGATCAGCAAGCGGGCATGTTACTCTCGATCGTGACACCTCTACTAGATGAGCTTTCTTCAAATTTGACGGTGGCAAAAGGGGGGAAGGATCCCATTCCAATCCTTCGCATTCATCACAGTATTATGGCGCTCGGCAATGTTGCGAAAGGATTTCCAGATTATCCTTCTCCAGTGCCCGAGGGATATTGTCTTCCATCACTAGACGTGTTTCAGCGGGTTGCGCAGGCTATTTTATCATGTCTGGAGGCCATGAACGTTTTCAAAGACGTCCGCGACGCAGTAAGTTGGTATTTTGTTCTTGACACATCCCAGGCTGATCATCTGTAGACACGACACGCATTTGCGCGAATCATTGCCACGACAGGGTCCAGTGTTACTCACTTGATCCCACCTTTGATGGCCAACCTTCTTGCACAGTTCGAACCCTCTGAGCTCGTCGACTTCATGAACTTCATTGGGTTGCTGATTCACAAGCTTCAGGTGAGGATTGTACTCGCTTGTGCGTTCATACCTGACTTTATGCCAACAGAGCGAGCTTTTCAATGTTCTGGACGAGCTCATTGGACCTCTAAGCGCCCACATCACCCAGCTTCTCAATCAGCCCGTTACAGGTACTGATGACAGTGTCGAACATGCAGAAACTAAACGAGCCTATCTGACGTTGTTGAC